CATCATGTTTTAACAATCAATGACATTAATGCAACACTTTTTTCTCTCACTGTTTCTGTTGTCACACTGAAGCCCCTCACACACAGTAAAGCTGACCCGTGGCCCTCAGCAGCCCACACACACACACACACACTCACACAAACACACACACACACTCACATCACATGTTTACGCACATTCCTCAGTGTGCTGCTGAACCCTTTGTGAGATGAGGAGGGGTTACGTAAAACTAGATTTGCTCTCTAAATTCACATTTTGAATATCTTGAGATCTTGAAAATAAATGATTTAACTGCACTTTCGCTGTTGTATTAATCATGCATTCACAAAACTAAGAAAACTGATAAAAGGTCAAACAATTGAAAAACAATTCTTTAAAAAACGACTATAGACCAGTTTAGTCCTGATAAAAGTCTTTGTAGTGAAACATGTCCTTAGTGTAATCCCTCTGACTCCTCAGTGTGAAGCTCTTTGGCGCCTAAGGCCAAAGTCTAGTTCAATGAGATGTGGGATGTTGGCAGCTCGAGTCATGCTGCAGGCCCTATAGGCCATATGTAACACTGTGTCCAGCACACAGCCACTCGTAGAGGAGGAAACAGGTTCAATAATCTCTCACTATCTCTGCTTCTTTTTTGTACTCCTGATTACAGGGTGGAGAGTTTATAAAACTGCAGCACCAATCTGTTTTCATTCTTAAGCACTAGTAGAAGTAAATAACAGATCATCTTCTTAAATCACTGCAGATCAGTTTGAATTGTCTTTGCTTCTTACACATTTTAAAGTAAAAATAAAAACAAGGTCTATTTGTATATGACTTGCTTCCATCAGAAAATCAAGAAATGAAAAGAACATAGTTGAAGCGGTATCTGTGGGCCAAGGATAAAACATATAGCTAGTATTTTTAAAGAAATTGAATTTCTTAGTCAGAAGGAAAGAAATATAATGGTAAATTACTAGATTTAGTTTTTTTTTTTTTAAATGTCCGTTTGCAGACTAAAATAAGTTTCCCTATTTTCCGATAATGCATTGCACTCATGATTTGATTTTTGTAAAATAGCTGCAAGAAGTCGTTGGAAAACAAATAAAACCCAAAAGGAATTTAGTCTTTGTTGGGGTTAAATGTCATTGTCACTCGAATGTGTCTCTATCACACTATTATTTAGCTGTGTTGATTTCTCATCTACCACCTGCATCAATAGGATTCTATAGGTTTTTTTTTCATGAAGCATACTGTATGCTTTTATTAGGTACTGTGGTTTTAGGACAAAGCACTACCTAGGAGTGAATAGTCATTCCTGAGCTTCAAAGCTGATAAGAAGGTGTCTGCTTTCAGAGGAGCTACTGTTGTCTAAACAAAGATGTGTTGATCTGACAACAAACACTGAGTGAATGGGAGAGGCGGGAGGTGGGGAAGACACCGAAACACAAGAGTAGTAAAGTTGAGGGATACTATTGTACCAACACTTATGTGATAGAAGGATGACGTAGTTACATTTGGGGGGAAAAATAACCAAAAACTGCACATCTTGAATACTTGCAGTGATTTCCTGTTTTTTATAGTTTGAGGCATGCATGTGAAGCTCTGAATGTTTCCAGCTATCTGATTAGACAGATTTGCCAGAGTCATCGAGTCTCTTCTGCGTCTCACAGAGGTGTGCTGATTGATGTTGTGACACGCTGAGGGGTGACTTGTAGGTGAAAACTGAGAGTTTTTTTTTTGTTTTTTTTTGCTCAAACCCAGGCTCTGAGGCTGAGCTCAGTTCAGGGTGATGACAGCCGCTGACAGTTTTTGGCTCCTCTCCTTCTTTCTCTACGCAAAGTAAAGTCCCTCCTACTCCTCCAGCTCAACCCCTCCTGTCTCACGCTGCCTTCAGCCCTGTGTCTCTCACCCTGTCTCTCCCCATCATGTCCCCTCCTCACCCAATCTCAGCACCCTCAGACGCTGTCAGTCACTACCTCTCTGCTGGCGCCAGATGCAGTGTCTCCATTTCAATGGGAGCTATTTTTTCCACTTTCACATTTTCAGTGCTACTATATAAACAGAAAATAGGGCTCAGGTTACAGTGCCTTTCATTCACCTCCACCTCCTGCACCTACCTGGGCTCCTGATGCCTCCTGATGCCTCCAAACTGAAGTATTTCTCCATTACAACACAAGTTGATTTAACTCCTGTATTATCGGAGCACCCTGAATGTTGATTACAGACAACATAATCTCACTCTGGTTCTCAGCCTGATCAGATAAATCAGACTCAGAAAAGAGATTTGTTGCCGAGTCAATGAAACAGTCAAAGAATATGTCTCTGTGGTTTTGGTGCAAAGCATAAAACATATAAATTGTTTAGAAAGTGGGAACAAAGTAAACAGGGTTATCTGCACTTTAAAGCAACTTAATATAGATGGATATATATGGATATGGATGATGTACTTTACTATATAGTTAAATTACTACTGGCAGTGCTATTGCTTACAGTTATTTTCAATAACTTTCTTAATCATCCATTAAATATTCAAATCTATCACATCAGAAAATAATGGAAAATGCTCCTCACACATCTTTAGGTCGTAATCAATGTCTAAAATGAATGTCTACTCAAATATTAAATTGAATTGACTGCAAATCCAGAGGGAGAACTTGAGGCTCAGTGGCTTCTTAAAGCATTTATTCACATGGAAGAGAAAATGAATGCAAATTGTAGCTAAGTGTTTTTATTGTAAGTGCTGTTAGATCTGTTTTTGATTTTGGTTTTTTTCTGACTTTTGGGAAATAATGTATGTAAAGGTTTTCTTGACATGGCTGATAACTAATTAGTCTCAAAGTACAAAGCAACAATGACGTGTTCAGGCACTTCGCCGGAAAGACACTTTGGCCGATCAGATAAATGTTTGAAACCATATTTACAGAGTCTCAAAACAAAGATCACACTGTTTGAGTTAGAGAGGCTACCTGATTTTGTTCATGCTACATAAAAACTCATTTAAGATTTATATTAATGATTTATATGTTAACAGTCAGAAAATGTCACACTTTTCTTTCGTGGCATTTTAGGAGATGTACATTTAACTAACTGTTAAAACACAAATATTGAGAAACAACACAAAGTAACAATCAGTTTACACACACAGACAGTTGTTTGCTGTAGTTTGGTTAATGAGAGGAGATCACAGATTTAAATAACTGTGTTCCAGATATTTTTGGTAGAAAAGACAAAAATCTCATCAATGTTTTTAAAGCCTTCCCCTGGGATGTTAAGACAACAACAATTGTCTAAAGTTTATGTGCACATGTCATCAAAACATGAAAGGCCAGCAGTGAGATGTAATCCCAGCAGATTTCAGATTATTCTCACTATGAGCTCCAGTCTCCCCAGTGATAATATGCACTCTGCTCACAGAGTCAAGTCCAGCTGAGTCTTTAAAGGTCAATGTTAAATGCTCCAGTTAAAAACAAGGCTCTGTTTCTTTATCCCTTAAACATGTTGTGATGTATTGTTTGGAAAACAGTTGTAACTGTTGCACAATACTCATCATTCATTTTGTGTCATATTGGATCACATTTTGAACTTTGAAGGAAGCTGCCGCTCATGTACTTAGTAATGGCCTTCTTCAGTCAAGGTCAAAGTTAAATGGTCCGATTTTATATCACCTCACAGACACTGGGAAGTTTGTGTCCTCGGACTCACCTCCTTCTCCTCCTTTTCTTTCTCTGTTTATTTCTGCCTCTCTGTTTTTATTAGATTATTCCTTTGTGCCTCTGCCCCTCTGTTTTTTGAAACCTTACCACTCTTGTTAATGACAAGCTGCCGGTTCAGGTTGGGGTTGCTGCGGTGGGGTTGGGTGAGGGGGGTGCACATTTGGTTCAGTCCTGTGCTTTCCATTGAAGGTGACAGGAGAGGCTGTGACTTTCGGTTTTTGACCCCTGAATTCTTTATTTTTTACTAGGAGGGATCCAAGGATGAAGCTGTTGATGTGAATAGCTGCTCAAGGTGACTGGATCCCAATAAAGAGGCCGTCACCCTGGCCGGGGGGGCCTCCTTCCCATCCCAGACACAACCTTTATAGGGCCGCTTATGAGCCTGGGCCACTATTAAACCTTGTCCAGCCTGCGCTGAGGAATTTAGGGCCAGGAAACAAGGGAGTGGGGGTGGGAGAGGGACGAAAGAGGTGAAGTTGGGGTGATAGAAGGTGAAAGTTGAAAGGCATGTTCGAAGGAATCTGGTTGTTCTTTAGTCATCACCTTCAAATGTGCACCAGCCGTTTAGCTGATTCTCTCTTTCTGTGCTTTTAACGGACGTTAGCAGCTAGCAGGTTTTCAGTATTTCTGCGCGTCTCTTTCACATTGTTTGTTTTGCACGTTTTTTTATTAGCAGCAGTTTGCCTGTGGCCAGCAAATGGTGTTACACAGTGTGCCATTTTCTTTAGCGAGACAGTGAGAAGGCACAGAGGGAGACAGCCGACTCTCATAAACATCCCACCTCTGTTTGTTCACATGGGGCTCGAGGTATATAGGCAGCTCTGGTTGGACGGGCCTTTCAAATAAAAATGTGAGCCTGCGCATGTGCGTGCGTGCGTGCACACAAACACACACAGATGCAAAATTCAAGATGTCAGTCAAAAAGTCAACAGAGGTATGCCTGCTCCCCCCAACTCAGCAGTAAAAAGAGAAGTCAATCAAATCTCAGCTGCCAATCAGCATTTTATCAGCGGAGCCATCTGGCCATCAGCTAATTGTGTCTCTTTTAAGTCCCTGTCAATCAGCAGTGCCCCCTCCTCCTCCCTTTTCTCTTAAAAATGTCTGCCTTTGAGCTTGCCTTCTGGCTCCGAGGGGTGGCCTGCATGGGGTAGGGGGTTGTTTGTTGACCACTCTCTCTTAATCAGTGGTTGTATTAGCTTTCATCATGGTTTCAAAGACTTTAAGAACTTATGTAAACAAGATGCTCTGATATAATAAAAGACTCTAAATGTTTCTGGTTTTTTTTCCTCTCTCTCCTTTTCTTCACAGCGGTGGAGACGCAAAGCACTAGCTCAGAGGAGATGGTGCCCAGCTCTCCTTCCCCTCCTCCCCCTCCTCGGGTCTACAAGCCGTGCTTTGTGTGCCAGGACAAGTCCTCTGGTTATCACTACGGAGTGAGCTCTTGTGAGGGCTGCAAGGTAAATGAAGCCGGAGACCCATGAAGAGTTTACTTGTGAAGTGGACAGCTGATGTCGACTAAGAGAAGAGCAGAGTGAGAACCTGATGATCAGCTGGACTGATGTCAGCTCTGAGTGTCTGTCATGTTGTTTTAGGAAGCTGCCCTCTAGAGTTTTCTTACTAATACTACATCTTATCGCTCTAGCAAATGGTAACTCATTATTTAGCAAATATAAACTGTAAATAGATTCAGAGCATTTTTAAATGAAAGACAAATATGTGAATTGTAAAAGATCATTTTTGTCTGTAGCTTATGTGAAGAGATAAATATCCAACTTTCCAATCCAACTTCATTTGTTTAGCTAACAACCACAGTTGACCAAAGTTCTGTACAAAGTAATGTAAGATAATACTAGCCACATTCTCACAATGTCAACACTAGATTGCTGATATCTCAAAAATGTTACCATTTTAAATTAAATTTTGCTTTAATTTGCCAATTAGACAAAAACACCTATTACAGATAAAATGTGAATTGCATATGATGTGCTGCTTTTTATCCCACAAATTATCAAGCAATGACATTTAGAGATGATAATCTACAATGTAAAAAGCAATGTATCTACTTGTCTCTGAGAAGTTTACGATCATCAAATGCTAATAATGGTTGCGTCAGGAAAAAGTCAGGGGAAAACCAAATTTATTACAATTCTTTATCTAGGAATTATATAAATCTGTTTGTTGGACATTTTAAACCACCGGACCAACAAACATTGCCCTCCCTATGGCCATAATGCTAACGTGGAATGTAACTTTCTCCCTCACGGTGAGCATTTCTTTTTGTCATGAAACAACATAAATATTTTATTTTCATTCGTTTCAGGGTTTCTTTCGGCGAAGTATCCAAAAGAACATGGTGTATACCTGCCACCGAGAAAAGAACTGTCAGATCAACAAAGTCACCCGCAACCGCTGCCAGTACTGCCGGCTGCAGAAATGCTTTGAGGTCGGCATGTCCAAAGAAGGTGAGAAGAAAACATGGACCTGTGGGATTTCTTTGCAAAAATAAAACTTAACTAATATAAGGGGGAGGGGAAGCTTATTAGGAGTCAAGGCTTTTCAAGTGAGTCATCTTCCGCCTGTGTTTCCTGTAGCGGTTCGTAATGACAGAAACAAAAAGAAGAAAGACGTGAAGGAGGAGTTGGTGCTGCCAGAGAACTATGAGCTGAGTGGAGAACTGGAGGAGCTTGTTAATAAAGTCAGCAAAGCTCACCAAGAGACCTTTCCATCTCTGTGCCAGCTAGGAAAATACACCACAGTGAGTTTTTTTTTTTAAAAGTTCATATCCACATGTAAACACTCCAACCAAGCAATAGCTCACCACTTTCCTGAAAGAACAAACACAGTGTCAAAGCAACACACATAAAATTCTCCCTCTTACTCTCTCCCAGAATTCAAGTTCGGACCACAGAGTACAGCTGGACTTGGGCCTGTGGGATAAGTTCAGTGAGCTGTCCACTAAGTGCATTATAAAGATTGTGGAGTTTGCAAAGCGGCTACCAGGCTTTACCACGCTCACCATCGCTGACCAGATCACCCTCCTCAAATCTGCATGTCTGGATATCCTGGTACAAACTGAACGCTCTTTTACTCCTCTTTAACCCCCCACCTCTTCCACCTTCCCAACACTTTCCCATTTGTCACGCAGCCTAACATGTAGCGATGCAATCTTTAACAGCTTCCATCAATTCTTTAGGCTGATTTTTAATCAATATTTCTTTTTGTCTTGTTTTCAGATGCTGAGAATATGTACCCGATACACACCAGAACAGGACACCATGACCTTCTCAGATGGCCTGACTCTTAACAGAACTCAGATGCATAACGCCGGTTTCGGCCCGCTCACAGATCTGGTGTTTGCCTTTGCCGGCCAGCTGCTGCCTTTGGAGATGGATGACACAGAGACGGGACTACTCAGTGCCATCTGCCTTATATGCGGTGGTAAGATTGTACCTACCAGTGTTCTTCTTCCAATGGTGCAACATCCTGAAAAATTTGTTTTGGTCACATTTGTTACATGCTACCAATTCCTTACATCTGTGTCTGCTATTGTTTTAGACCGTATGGACCTAGAGGAGCCACAGAAGGTGGACAAGCTGCAGGAGCCTCTACTAGAGGCTCTGAAGATCTACACCCGCCGCCGACGCCCCAACAAGCCTCACATGTTTCCTCGCATGCTGATGAAAGTCACAGACCTCCGAGGAATCAGTACCAAAGGTCAGTTGAGGTTATACATATCCGAACTCAACATAAGTAGTGTAGGGCTGGGTATGAAGCCTACATTCTATTTGGTTCCTGCCAAAATAAGTCTACAGTTAACAATATCAACAAGTACTTAAGGTTAAAATTCAATGTCTGGTATGGATACCCACTTAAACATTTACAGAAGTTTTAGTTTCAAAACCAAAATTAAGTATCATATTTGCCCCTTTGGCAATGATTTGGGAAATTCTACATGCAAATAGGCTTTTTCAAACAGAAAAGAACATCATCTGCATTTATAGAGTACATGATAAAGAATAAAGGTGTTTTTTTTCCTCCAGCCTCTGACTTAGTGATTACATTTGAATAGTGTAACATCCTAACAATCAGTCAACCTGCTTCTGTGCCTGTAGGTGCAGAAAGAGCCATCACATTGAAGACAGAGATCCCTGGACCCATGCCTCCACTGATCAGGGAGATGCTGGAAAACCCTGAAGCCTTCGAGGACAGTAGTGACTCAGGGGACAGCACCGCAGCTGCTCCCCCCGCCATTCAAGCCATCAAAAAAGAGGAGAAGGCAGCGGACGAGTCGCCCGCTGAGGAGGAAGAGGAGGAGGAGGAGGACGACTACTGGGATGAGGAGAAGGAGAGAGGTGCAGACAGTGATGGGGAGGCTTGGGGCGAGGCAGCAGCCGGAGGGCAGAAGAAAGGTGTGACTGGAAAACCACAGTGAGAGACTCAACGATTGCTGATTCCCTGTTGCCAAACAATATCTCCTTTTCGAACCCAATACTTTTAGGCTCTTAGACAACACTCGTACAGCAAGTTTTTACATATCGTGTATGTTTCAACTGAATGGAAATGTGTTAAATTCAGTATGGGAAGCAAAAGGCGAGAGAAGAAAAAGCACTAATAGTCAGTGGGCCGAGGAGACCGCCATGCAAAATCACTGTGCCAAAATGAGACTGTATAAAAGATATTTCAAAAAGTGTTCGGTCCACCCAAAGAGGAACAATATGTGGTGGATTGAAGAAAATGCACTCCTCTGCTATCTATAAGGGCTATACTTTGTATAAAATTGATGGTAAAATACATTGCTGCAACAGTACTCAATGTGGTGCCCATTTGCCGCATATGTCTTTTGCAGAATTCCCTTTCTTGAGATATGCTACTTATTTTTGTTATTGTATGGTTTTTGTAAGCATGTACACATTTCTTCTCTTTCTGAAAGCCTGTTTGTGGGATTTTATGTTGCTTTATTTTTGTATATTATTTCACTCAGTCCTTCTTACATTTTTTACTGGACATATGAGGTTTATTCTTTTTTAAGTGTGTCTTTAATTGTATGCGTTTCCGCTTTATTGGATAAAAACATAAGCAATCGTCAAAATAGTAACGACAGCAACAGCAAAGAGACACCAGGTCATGAGCAGGACTCAAACTCACAATTTGACAAGCACATTGTATATTGGTAGGCAACTATAACCTTACTATCAGTTGCTATCAGTGCTTGTGATCCAAATAAGACTCCAAAAAAGAATGCAAAACAAATAAAGCAATATATCATCTTCACCTCTCAGCAAATCAACACACTTACAAACAAGAGAAACTAAGACTAAAGAATCTGCAGGGTAGATTTCATGTCGTAAAACAGTCTCAGGTTGATGGTCAATACAGTATTTTAAGAAACCTTAAGGTGTGTCTGCTCCAATGTCAATACCTGACATCCATATGGATTTTTTATAGCTTTCATTTTGATCAAGTTGTACATGCCCTTGGTACAGCATCCAGGTACTGAAAAGCCATAATATTTTCATTTGGAAAGCAAAGAATCCTCCAAACATAAAAGCAGTTTACGTCACAGGAAACCTCAGGTGTGTATGTGTGTGTGTGTGTGTACGTGTGTGTGTGTCTGTGTGCATGAATGTGTAACTGAGAGCATTTAGCATTATACCATGTTTTTGCAAATGTTGTTCTTAACGTCATTGCTGCCATACTATAGAGTAAACTATTAGCTTGCTTAAAAGAATGCACATAAAACAGGTTTTGTAGCAAAGACATTTTTCAGATTTCCACAGCTCACTCAAAGGCAGCCGAACATGTAAGCTGAACCAAGATGAGTTTGTAACCGTCCAAAATGACTAACAAATTAAAAAGCTTACATCTTATGGCCTGTCATGTCAAGTGTGTTCATGTGTGCTGTATCTCTTGAGTGAGGCAAACATACATCTTGTAAAATATATTCTTAATTATTTTGTCTTTACATTGAAACTATACAGCTTCTTTTTTTTAACATGGCAGATGTATACAATTTTCAAAGACAATGTGACTCTCACTCAGCTCGTTAAGGGAAAAGATTCTCCATCAGCATGTTGAAACGCTGCAGCAGCAACAAGGCTGTAGCATATTTGTTCTCAAAATGAGGGAAACAATTAGTTTAAATGATGAAGTTGAAAAAAGGACTGCATGTTTCTGATCATCAAATATGGAGATGTTCACTCCTCTGAATGAAGCAAAATGTTGAGCTGATCATGTTTGAAGCATTTACAATTGATAAAAGTTTGATCATTCTTTAGCCCCAGAACTACAGCTAAGAGAAAATGTTGATTTATTGATAAACAACACTGATGTCAAAATAGATTTTAGACTGTTAAATGAAGATATTTGGTACTACAAAGGAGCTTAATAACCATACTAAAAGACACACAGAGTTAATATTTGCACTGTCAGCCAACTCTCTATGCTATATTGTTCTACATAAAATAATATTTCTACTTCTCATAACCATAATATTTCATAATTAGTTGTTTTCCTGTTTAATTTTTTGTTTTCGTTTTCTTGAATTTGAGCTGGTGCAATAGAAAAGCCATGATAGAGGTCTGAGGCCTCAGCTCTGTGTGTATGTCTGCATGTGACCACAACAACAACAAATAGACCAAAGACAGATATGTAGTCACATTTTGACAAAACATTAACTGATAATAAAATTGAGTTCATCTATGTGAAATATATTAACTTTGTATTATGGGAGAATCTTTTTTGATCGTGTTACTTTTGAAGCTGGAACCATTGTATCTCTGTTGAATTGTATTGTTGTTTTTGACTTTTTATATTTACAATGTTTGTCATTTTCAAATAACTTCATGTTCAGGGATTTGGACACCTCATGAGTTTGTATTTCAATTGTTCCATAATATCTCTGTTACACACAAATGGTTAAAAAAAAAGAAAGAAAGAAAAAAATACTGGGCTGATATGTCCTTGTTACATTTTTATTTGTTGCTTCTTGTTTGCTGTTTTGTTTTATGTTTTGTCTTTCTTGTATTCGATAAAGGCGCTTTTTGTCCTCAGAGTCTCGGTGTCCTCTTGTGATTTATCTGCCATCTCTTAACAAACTGATTCTTAGCATGAAAACACAACTTCTTTGTAAGACTTTGTAAGCTGGTTTATACAGGGTCACAAACCTCCTCTGGTGCTCGATTCATGTTATATTTTGACCCAAGCACAGCACATGTTTAGACCACCATGAAAAGGGGAAAAGGGGTATAATATATCCTCTTCAACTTAAATTTATAGTAATTCTTAATTGAAAGGTGGCACATATCCTACATATGTTCAACATCTCACATGTCAACACACATTTATCATCACAGTTTATTATTAAAGAGACCAGTGTCTCCAGTCAATACACTAAAATAACATAAACAGACTCTTATATTCTCCAAGTCTGACACAGTGCTCAACAAGCAGCAGCAGAACATTTAACACTCATCTGTTACACACACCCACGCTTTTCACTCAGATTCATGATTCACACTCACATGCAGAGGTTTTTGAGATGATGTGCGATCAAAAACAAGATGTAATGTAATACATTTTAAGCTATATGCGGCATCATTTGACACTTTTCTTCAAATAGTTGAAGACAAGACTGCAGAAAAAGATACAAAATGTAGAGATAAAAATCAAGAGTCTAGAATACATTGAACCGTTTCCTCGGGCAAGTGTTAAAAGTCTTCTCATACAGCAGTAATCAAACTGTTAACCTATCTATTCAAACAAACTTAAGACCTACAAATTGTGCCATGTGTTCTTTGAATACAGGTATCATTAGGTAAGAGGTTCAGGAACTTATTTTCTACATATACAGCTACAAACAGTTAAATGATAATAATCAAAAATAAGTTGAACTTTTGCATAAGTTTACAATGATCTTCCATTCTTCTCTGTGTTACCACATGGGGGCGTGAGCGAGTTGACTGCAGAATGAAAAAGAGAAAATTAATTAATTGCATGAATTACATTTTTCTTCTTCTGTTGGTTTATTTCATGTTTTGTTGCTGCTATTTTTACCCTCATAATAATAATTACCAGTTGTATTCCTCAGCTCTAGTGCACCGTCTAACTCTTTCCACAAGACAACAAAGTGCCAAGCAAGCAGACCGCCTGCTATTATAAACCGGTCTTCCAGGGAAGAGAGTGTGAATGAAGTCATGCCATTATATCTAGGGAGTGGTGGTTCATGGAAATAAAACTGGTTTGGGCATGTGTGACCTGTTAGGAAGACAGTGCAGTCACCTCAGGACGGGGCTGATGAGTTCAGGCAGAATCAGCTGCCTCCCTTCACCGGCTCGGGGATCACGTTCCTTCTTCATCACATCCTGATAAAAGACAGAAGCAGAGATGGATGGAAAACAACAAAGCTAGTCGTGGCCTAAGACTTTTTACAATACTTTATAGTCCTTGACCCTGCCCTATAGTCTGTGACCAGTGTGCAAACCTAATCTAAAGATAGTGACCCTTTCTATAGCCTGGAAGCCTTTTTTTTATACCAACAGTACAGATGTCTGGGACAGTCTGGACCAAAGTATGAACTATGGTGTAAAAAAAAAAACCTGCAGGTTGAGCTGGGGGAACATAAAGACTGGATAGAGAAACTTGACAAATATTTGCACTTTGCAGGAGGTGTTTCACCGTGTCAGGTTTTGAGTAGGATGACATACCTGAGTGTCAGAGGCTGCTGTGTCCTCTCTGCTCTGAGTGTTTGTCTCAGCTCTGTCAGGTCGTTCCAGGTGAGCTGACAGGAAAAGAGGTGAACACACTGAACCAGGGGGAGCTGAGGAAAATTCCCCGTCGTCCTCAGAGGAGTAGTCAGGAGCTGTTTGAATCAGTGTACACTCTTTATTCTGATAGTCATGTCTGCTGCTTTAGAATAGCTGTGCTGTAAAAAGACTTCATTACTCACTGATACATGCAGGTATTTCTACATTTGATTTATTTTCTGGTACAATCTCCAACTTCTGCTCCAGCTGATGGATGTAATTCAACAGGTCCTGTGAGCGTGGAAATTCAAACGAAGTAGAAGAATTGAAAAAGAGGAGGAAGACAAATATAAACATCAGAATGGATTAAGTGCAAATCAAAGTAAACAGTTAAAATGGTACTGTTTGTTTAAACTAGGTTTCATAGTGACCATTAAAGGTGATAGAACAAGTACACTGAACTTTTATTTTAGTAAAATACCAAATGGTCAGTTTAGAAATGCAAAATTACAAGTTCATGTCCTTAACTCAACTTTATATTTCATTAAATTAATTCACAAAGCTTCTAAAATAAGTAAAAAGTACTTTTTCATATTATTATAACTCTTTTAACTATTGATGCACGTTTGTTTACAAAGTCTTATTGAACCTATAATAAAGATGGATAATAACATATTTACTAATGACATTTTTATACCATCAAGCTGAAACTGTAAATTAAATTTTTTTTAGGATAGAGTTCAACATTTACTTTAAAATGTGGTTGATGCAAAATGAATTCACAGAAAATGTATATACTAAAGGGATGTTGAAGTAACTTAGAATTACACTAACCAATTTTCTTAAATTACTTTCCACCTCTGACTGTAAATCTGAGATGGAAATCTGGAAAATTGAGATTAACAATCTGATTTCTTCTGTAAAGCACATTCACACCTGCGTGCAGGTCTAGTTATCTATTCTTCTTATAAATCCTCAGCGTCATGAATGGTATATTCTGTTTTCTTTGACGAGATTTTTAAAAAAGAATCTTTTTTTTTGGACAACAGTTGATATGAAAGAGCTCTGTTTGAGGATGTCAGGGTCCATGGTTGTTCAACTCCACACAATCTGCCTACAGAAGATAACCCATTTGGTCCAAGGTTCAACAAAAATATCTTTCTCAAGATGCAAGCAGAAAGTGATCCTATCTATAACATCAATTCAATTTACTATATCAATCCATTCCTGTATTGTGGGGGGTTCAGGAAGTATCTCGCGCCTAGTAATGGCTTTTTTTTACAAGCAGAAATCCAAAATGCCAACCTGGTATTTCTTCCCTGCCTGAAAAATCGACATTTTCTTAGGATAATGTGGTAAACTGCTGGTAAAGCTCAATATTATGAATACTTTGAAATGCTTTATGAAACTCTGCCTAGAAGGGTTTTTTTTATCACTGGGCACTCCCAGAAAACATGCCAGTGGTTGGCTTCTTGACATCCTCACTGCTCCTTATATTTAGCATCTCTTCCTTTATAATGTGCTTTTGTCTTCAGTGCGACATAAAAACAAAAGAAACACTTCCACCCAGAGTCATGCCACATGTGAGAGTCTGTATATTTCCACTGAAGTTTCCACATGTCTAACCAGCTTTCACTTGATATGAAAAGCTAACCTTCTTTCTCCCATTGTTCCTAAACATAAGGCCTTTATAAAGTTTATAGATTGCTCCTTTATTTGAATCATTTTGGTATAGGCACCTATAAATAATCTCGGTATTATATCATCAAAGTGATGATTAAGTTTTTATCATCAGATTGGCCTTCACAGCGCTTCTGCACAAAACAATAGCTTTACACACTTGACATGATAATCATTAATAAAGCTGTTGTATTGATTAACAAAATTGGCATAAATACCATTAACTTAAAAAAACCTGTTTAATTAAGATACATGTTTTTAATCAATAAGCTGCTAAGTCATTGCCTGTTTGTCCAGCTGCTGCTCCTCACTCTCTCTCTGGGCTCTCCTCACACCGGCCTTCAGCTCCTGCAGCTCCTGCTTGGCATCACTCAGCTGCACCTGCAGGGGGCAGCACAGTATACACCCTGTGAACTCCCACTCATGTGACCTGGCTTGTCCTCAGTCCTGCAGTTGCTCACACGAGGGTGAGAAGAAATGTTTACTCACTGTTCATGGAAGCCTTTCTATTTGTGAAGTTGTGTGACTTATTAGAGAACCACGCTGAACTCTGCCATCATTCTCCTGTTTCCAAAATGTAACCTGAGCGACTGATGATGCAGATCTGGGGCATGCAAGGGGTTATTTTTGATACCTGAATGTGTTTTCGTGGTGGACATTATGTTCAAATGTACATTTCACATTTTTTAAAATGTTTACTTACTCGATTGCAATCTCTCTCTCTCGTGAGCTCTACTTCAAGTTTCTCCCTCTCTATCCTTTCCTCCTGTAGCCACTCTTCCTTCCTCTGCACCTCACCGCTCAGTTCTTGTAATTTCTTTATATCAGCCTACATGAAAACAAAAAAAAAATGATGTCAGATTGACATGTGGGCTGTGCATGTTCGGCATCAGACTGCTGCATTCTCACCTCTGCTGCATGTTTGTAGGCTTCTCTTTCTAGGGCCCAGTTGGCGCGCTCCTCCCTGAGCAGCAGGTTGTCCTCAGACAGCTGCAGGGTGAGCTGGGCCACCTGCAGCCGGGCTTGGTGCAGCTCGGTGTTGGTGTGGCCCTGATGGGTGCCAAGCTCCCTCAACTCCCTGCGCAGGCTCTCAGCTACATGCTCTGCAGCCTCCAGACACTCCTGCAGACCTCGGACCTCCACCAGAGCTGCCTCATTTTCCACCTTTAGAGGGAAATATACATTTGAAAGTAATTATGTTTATGGTTTTCTTTCTTTTGTGTTACCTAGAAGGAAAGAAGAAGCAGGGACCAAAAGACCACATTCACAAGGTGGCCATTTTTACATGTCGTCACGCTTAAGGGGAGGGCCTCAAATGATGCTTTGACATACTGTTGTATTTAAGCTTGTGAGAATTATAAATGTAGGGAATCTGACACATTTTTCAACACTTCCAGATTGATCGGAAGTTTAGGTTAATCCATCAGCCGATATTTCCACTTAAAAAATATGTTTGATTACTCTTAAGCTACCAATACACAACAAAGCATTCAACCACAGACATTTGTTATGATACACTTTATACTGATTACTGTGATCACTGTTTCATAGTGTTTTACAAAAGGTTTTTCTTTTAAAAGGTGCTTATTCCCAGCTAGTGTTATAATTCCATTTACAGCTGCATTTAACCACAGACTACATCAAAGTATCTATTGTTATGGTTAGTTTAAGGTTAGCTGTTTGATAGTTTTACAAATGAAAAATCTAAGTTGTGAAATACTAGCTAACCCCTTCTAAATATCATGTAAGCTAGGATTTTATTAATACTTTTTATTGTTTTGTGTGACACCATCAAGCTTTAAAGTTACCATTTAGTCTCCTCAAGGCTAACTGTAACAGTAGCTAATATGTTGTTGAAGCTAACATTAACTGTTGTATGGTAGCTAATCTGTTATTTTATACAGTGTTTAAATATGGTGCAATGAACGCCCAGATGAACACTTTGTGTTTTATTTTCAGGTGCTTATCTATCTTGAATATAAATACCTGCAGAGACTTTCTCTTCTCCTCGTCATGTGTCATTTGACTGGACATTTTTTTCACTCTTTCCTTGAGTCTGTGGGACAAAAACAATATAGTTTTAGGCGTAGGGAAATAAATATACCAAGATGTTTGAGCTGATGTGTGTCTGAAACCCTTGCCTTTCCAGTTCCATGTTTCCCTCTTTGTCTCTGTCAGTCAGGACCTTCATGTCCTCCTCCAGGTCTCTGACTCGCTGCTCACTCTCAGCTTTCTCAGCCATAAGTTTACTCAGTACATAGGTGAGATTTTCCTGACTGTATTTCACGTCCTTTTAACGTCGAGGAGAAAAGACAAATGAATAAAACAAATTGTATGTTTTTGATCCAAAACATGTTATTCTGGAAAAGTGAAATACCCCAAAACTTTGGATGTACCTTGTGTTTACCCTCTACCTTCTTCAGTGTGTCACTGTTGTGTCTCAGGTTGTCTCTGAGCTCTGTGATCTCCCCCTTCATAGCTTCCCTTTCAAGCTCCCACTCCATCTTTGCTAGTTTGCTGTTTTCTCTCTCCTGCTCTCTCTCCTTTTTGGCCTCGTCCAGAGCATGCTGTATACCTACTTGTTTTTGTAAGCACTCCTCCAGCTGACTCTGCTCACAACATGGGGAGAAGGAGGTTTTTTTTAATATACATTTAAATGCAAAAAGGATGAATTTTCATCTCATCTTAGCGTAACTGCCAATTTATTATACTGCAAACCCCAGTTCTTAAAAAGTTGGTAGGTGACCTACACATTTGTTAAGGCACTTTTAATGTTAAACCATTTATAGAGGTTTTAAAGCAACATATATTCTGTCAAATAGAAAACTTCTTTTTCAGGATAGGCCTCGCTTAATTCTGTAAGACAATGTCAAATCACATTGTGGACGTATTAAAACAGCATGGCATCGAAGTAAAAGAGACCAGCTGGTAATACGGCCTTCCTGCAGTCTCAACTCACACATTGAAAATGTTTGGCACATTATGAAGCGTGTACTAATACATACTCAAAAATGTGTTGCAATAAATTCTTAAACATGACCCTGTGACAACTTTTTTTGAAGCCCGTTGCTGGTATCAATTTCAAAATGTGAATACAATTTTTCAAAATAACAACATTTCTCACATTGTGTTTAAGGGATTTTGCAACCGACTATTTAGGAATTGAGGTTGTAGTGGTACTGCATTGCTCTGTGATGGAAAAGTGTTATCCTTTTCATTTGACCGACCTGAAGTAACTGGGCCCTGGGGATGACTAGGAGCAGCTCCTCCTCTCCATCCTCTTCCTCGCGCTCTTCTTTCAGAGTCTCTAGCTCCTCCAGTGGCTTTGGAGCACAGAAAGTGAAGGGCCGACTGCGGGCACACACCTCTCCTTTCTCATCCACATACACAAACTCATACTCCACAGGACTCGGTTGGGGCAGGTAGAAGGCTGTATGAAATTGACACAATAATTTGTAAATTTGTTGTTTTTGTTTGGGTTGCAAGTTACACTTAGGGTTGACCATAACACTTTTAATACATAAAACAACTATAGCAGCTATTAATTTGGCTTTTGCTGACCTCTGGTGGTTTAACCTTTCATCCTGCTGAAGGGATTTGGCATAACCAGTCTTTACCTCTGCCATCATGCTAAAGGTGGCATGTTCAGATTCTGTTATCATGATGCACTGCTGTGTTTCAGGATTGTAAATCATGTAAACCTTCATTTGTTAAGATCAGAGAATAAACTCTGATGTTGAACATAGGAAGGTAGCGATCAGCTTAGGTAAGTGAAACCTGCACTATTGGGTCATAATCAGGCTTTGTTAGGGCTGAGAACTTAAGTTTCATCCTCTGTGCAACAATAAGAGAGGTCAGCTGACACGGGTCACACCCTGTTTTGCTTGTTTTGTAAAATCAAACAGGGGCAGGATTTCCGCATGCCTTGCTGATATCTCCAAATGGATGAAAGAACACCACGTTCTTTGCTCCTTGTCATTCAAGCCAGTCCCTGTATGCAACCACAGGTTGATATCCAGCTTGGACAACTGAACTCGTGCCCAGAGTTCCCCCGGAACTTAGGTGTCATGATTAATGACAAGCTAACCTTTAAGGTCGACGTGGCCTTGATAGCTTAGTTGTGTTTATTTGCCCTGTAACAGAAGAACACATCCTCCCTGTCAGAGCATGCAAACCAGCTCCTGGTACACCCTCTTGTAATATCATGAACTGACAATTGTAAACTCCTTCCTGTCAGGTCTCCCTGAATACTCATTCAGGGAGACATAGAAGCGTGACTGGTCTTCAACCAATTCAACTGTTGGGCTGTGTCGGAGGCCAGTGCTGATAGAAAGGGTAAATAATGCTTCTCATTTGTGTGTGTCCAAATAAAATTTCATATCACCTCTGCATAAGCCAGTGGCCCCATTATGGCATCCCCAGTCAAGAAAGTCTGCCACTACCCTGGTCCTACCTTCACAACAGCCCAAATTCTCTACAGCTAGACTCTTCTCCTCTGTTGTTCCTGGTTGGTGGAATGAGTTGCCAAACTACATTTGGCCCACAGAGTCCCTTTCCACCTTTAATAAACAGCTAATGACCCAACTCTTTCATGAACAAACATGTACATAATGATATTGAATCTACTGGTGATGTTGATGAAATGATGATGACGGTGATAATGACTGAGTCAGAGGGAAATTGCTGCCATGTGAATATGGTGAATGGTCATTAAGAAATAACACTGATCTATTGACTGGTGTTAAGTGACTTTTAAGCTGAGAATTTTGAGAGGTACAACTGAAATATTAATTGTTATGTTTTTTTATCGTTTGGCTGGATTCTTACCATGGAAAAGTGCACAGGAGTTGACATCTGTGCACTCAGTGTAGCCTTCAGGAACAAGAGCCCATGTGTAGGTGTAATACTGTTTCACTGAAGACCAGCCCACCTTTGAAAAAATGTTTTTAAATCAGCTTATTTCCAAATGGAGATGTTTTCAGTTATAGCATGTATGAAGGATGTTAAAGGGGGCAAAGTACCTCAAAAATGCCAATCCAGTCGCTGCTGCTCCACCTGTGCTCAGAGGTCAGGCTATAGTGACACTCCACTCTGGTTTCGGGGAAGTAAAGTTGCCCCACATTTCGAAACACCACAGTGCTTTGTTTATCCATGGTAATAGGAAGCTGTGCTGTTTAGGATGAAAACATAAGCGGATCCAATGAAACGTGCTCCAGTTTCAGCCTGGAGGAGGACAGCTGATGAAAGGTGATAGCTGAGACAGGAATGCAGCCTGGTCATAATTATGCTGGCTGCCTGTGGACTTCTAATATGTTTATCAACAACAAGATAACCTACAGAGCTCTAACATACAACATGTTATCTGACAACAAAAAAACACAGAAATATTGTGAGGACTGTTTGTGGATCAGAAAACAATACAACCTGCCAGCAGCCTTCATCATAAATTAAATCAAAACTGTAATGTGAGAGTTCCTAGAACTAGTTATGGATGACAACACATTTCCATACCAGTTTTCGGCTATATATTCCAAAACTGAAATAAAATATCTAATATCTTATAATTTATTGACATTACGGCATTTAGGAATAAGTACAACACTGAAGTAACCACAAGTAAAGAGGACAGATGTGACACATTTGAATGTGTCCATCTTTTAAAAGGCGTAACATATTCATCTCTTGTCCTACTTGTGAAGTTAGCAGATGAGTGTTTCCTTTTGTTGTCATAGTCTTTCTGCTACCATAACATATTTATTTTTAAAGAAGATAACAGTATTGTTAAATGTAATAAATCAATGAATCGTGTGTTGTCAGTGTTTTCTTACCTTATTCTGTTGAGAGATGTGACTTTTTTTTTCCTGCTGCCTCATGAAGGACAGATCTGTGCGTGAGTCTGTAGAAAGTGATAAGCAATCCTGTCAGGTGCAGGAGTTTCACAACATCTTATCAACCATGTGGACCCCCCCCCCCCCCCCCCCCAAGTAAACTTTTAGTGCTTGCAGGCATCATGGGAGTTGCAGTTCAAGAGCACACAGCTTGTCAAAAGGCAAAGCAGGGCTGCAGACTTCAACTCCCATCACAGGCTACTGTTAGAAGAAACAGGATCTGCTGCTGGTTGTTGCTCATTGCAATTCTCAGTAGAGGCAGAGAAGGGGGGTGTGGGGGGGGGTTGGGGGGGGGCTAAAAACCTAAACAGCAAAATCTCAGAAAGTTAACTGTCCTGAAGTCAGTGAAAAACATAACAAGGAGCATGATCCTCCATACACTGACAATATGAGGGACCCCCATTTACTAAACTAGACTGAACGTTTTATTCAGAATATCAGAAATGTTTTGATTGCTTCCCAAATTGCTCTTTAATTTTTTATCAGGTTTACATTTTCCTGGGTTTAAACGGCATTGAGTGCAAGTCTTATTACCTAATGTTTTAGTAGTTTTTACTAAGTTTGCAACTGCATTAGGACTTAAGTTTTACTTGTATTCTTTGTGATCGCTTAATATTTGTAGTACCTTGTAAAAACACTTGATGGCAGTCTAGTACAAAATAAACTAAAACATGCACCAAGACTAATTTATTTGATGTGTAAGCAGGATTCAAGAAAAAAGTAAAATAACAGTTTGGGCGCTCAAGATGATCGTGGTCTTCATGTGTAAGTGGTGCAAACTAGGATGTAGGTTCCTTTATGCACTCATAGTCGCAACCTTACGCATGTTAGTATTTATTTGTAACCATGCCATGTTAAAACACTAAATATGAGCATTCAGTGGAGCAGCAGAATAAAAAAAATGACTTAATCTTGTATTACCTGATTTTTATTGAAGCTTGAAATTCAATTTAAGTTCATTTCAAGAAAATTGATCAGACAGACATGCTGTGGTAAAACTTTGGGAAAATGTATAAAGAATACGTAAACATATAAAACGTATTTACAAAAAAAGGCATTTTTAAAAAAAAAAATCATAAAAAAGTACAAGTAATATTATTGTAGAGCTTCCATCATTAAAAACACTTTTTTTTTCTACAAAATATTTGTATAAAGAATATTTCTGAGTACTGCAATGTTTCCATCAGAAAAAGCTACAGCAGGTCCTAAAGTGTACTCTTCATGAATTGTTTTTCTTATAATTGATCCGATATAAATTTAACAACATGTGCAGGTCGGGGGAAATGAATACAGTTTGCATTTAGATAAAAATGTCCAATACGTGCATAAACAGTAACATACTCTCAATCACATTTTTGCAGTAATATTTAGAGGTATGTGTGTGTGTCTTTGTATGCATCATAATTAGTTCAAACATACTAGGAGAGGCATTCACTCATTGCACATATCTGGCCTTTCCCTGTAAACAAGTTTCAAGAAGTTCAATGAAGGCATATACCTATAAAAAAAATATAACACTAACACTTACAAATACCCTGAGCATAGGTTCTCAGCATTCAAGTACACACGGAAAGCAGTTTTTTTTTCTGCTAAACAAATCAACCCAATATGAAAAGGCAGACATGAATCAGAAGATTAGTGTATAGCAAGTAGAGCCCCACCCATTTATTAGACAGCCAATAATATCAGCTGGTAATAGCATATCCAGTGACTAACGTGCATGGCTAATTTTATTGCAGATATGTGCCGATATTCCTAGAATTACTAACCAGTCAAAAAGCATTTCATTTGAGTTCAATAGTATTAAGCAGTAGTACTAGCAGTTCTCTTTCACCAGCAGAGTGTGTGATATGCATTACAACAAGCATCACTCTTCAGAGTGTATATCAAGCGTTGATGCATGTATACGCACAGCATGTACGTCTCCAGTTAAATTACCTTCTTGTCTTCCTTATACTGAATATCTTTTTTTTACACAAGTGTTTGATAACTGCATTTGAGGGATCAAAGCAATAAGTGTGTATATCTATATTTCAACAGATCGAACACAGATCTATCAAAGATATCGACCAAAATATTGGTATCCAATTTTTTTCTATCCCCAATTTCGATATCTGCCACAGAAATCCTCTATCCATCGGGCCCTAGTTTCTTCTGCTGTTGTTACTGAAGGTACTGTTTACTAAAACACACAAACACTTTTGTGAGTTTAAATGTGAGTCTGCACTTTAAAGCAGCAAATCATACTGTAAAAGAATTCCACAATAGCAAGCTTCTTACTCTGGCTCCTCACATCTTGGTCGAGCTCACTCCTTGCTGCTGGGCATAAGAAGACTGTCAGATAACTTTAATTAGCTCACATGTTGGCCAGCAGTGACATGACCCCAAGTTCTGTCAGTTTAGCTTTGGCTTCTTCCTCCCAGCCCTTGTTGGCCTTTGGGTTTCTGGGTGATGGATGCATGATGCCCTCCACTCGCACACTGACACCTGCAGCAGTCAGAGCTCGCCGTGCCCGCTGCTCTGCCACCCTCCCAATCCCGATCACCATGGAAACGCCCAGCGCCTTCACAACCTGGCACAGTGCAATGTCACACAGGACGAGGAGCTTCTCCCGTTCGCCCACAAGCAGCTCAGGTGGGGTTAAATTCTTCCCACTGGCACTCATAAAGATGAGTGGGCATAGATTGTGCACAAAGCAGTGCTGGAAGAACCGAGCAGGTTCACCACAAAGTTTCCTGAAGAAGCCCCAGAAACGAGCGCCGCTCACTTCCCTCTGAGTGCAGGCGAGTCCTGTGATCTGTCGCTTTGGATGTTCGTCAGGAGGATGACCCACCTCCCCGGTGATCTTAAGCCAATCAACAACAGACCTGACTTCACCAAAGGGGACCTGTGGCAGGAAAAGTTGATCACTTTAGCTTTTGTGAACACATGACGGACAAGAAATAACAGCACATTTTGTATGTATTTAAACTAGATTCAAATAATTTGAAATAGAATTTTGTTTTAAGTAATCAGCACACAAACATCTAGTGAGGAGAACAGGGGTCCCGCTAGGAACAGCTGTTCCAAAAATGCCTGAGCACATCTGGGGGGAACAGCTGGGAGCACCCTGTGGAGTGTGGCTGCCTGTGCATGCAGTGGGAACAAAATTCAAGGACACATAAGGCTCTTGCTGTTGCTTTGCTCCTAGACGAGTGGGGTGAAAAATTAAATAAAAAGCTGAGTTCTTTGGTACATGGCTTTAGATTTATGATCGTCTTTTTTTCTTTTTTCTTTTTAAATCGCTGGGAAATTTCCGCTCATATAAACATTACAAATATTAAAGATGCATTATCTTGAAGACATTTCATTGAGCATTTTAGTGTAAAATAACAATTTGCAACTTCTTAGTGAACAGCAGACTGAAATTGACCTAGAAATAAGCAGTTCTTTGCAACATATAGTGACTGTATTGTAAATCAGATTTGAATCAAAATTTTAGTTTAAATCAAATTATGACCCCAAGAATCAAAACCAAATCATGAGATACCAAAAAACTGACAACTGCGAATCTGGGGTTCTAACGAAATTCAAAGATGAAAAGGAAGATAAACACTTGGGGTTTTTTTGCCAGTAGATGTCAAAAATTTAGTATAAATTATATTTTAAAAATGTGTAATGTTACCGGGAAAGCAAGAGACGCCGTAGCTAGAAGTTTCTCATTATTAGCAGTGACTCTTGACTGTTAAGCACTTAGTGAACACAGAATTATATCAAAATATTAAATAAGAGAAATATAAACATATCCAAGGTGCCTCTTTACATATGTCCAATGCATCAATAATATTCATATTTTTGCTTTATGTTTGTGTGTGTGTGTGTGTGTGTGTGTGTGCGTGTATGTTGAATTGGGATGTTGGGATGGGCAACTTTGGTCACAGCAAGGGCCACATTCATTTAATTCTCACTGCCAGAGGGCCAAATTAAACAGTCGATTATGTCTCAAATTTAACTCAACATATACCAGTGATCAGATATTATTATGGACATATTTCTGGTTTTCATGATTTCATGGCAGATTTCATCATCTTCATGTCTCCAAATAATTGATGTGTAAAAAATTAACCTGAGGGCCACATTTAAGGTTGATTGGGGGGCCGCATGTGGCCCACCCCTGCACTACTAGGTGTCATATTATAGCTTGTAAAATGTGTTTGTGTGAGGTACCACACCAGAAAGTACAGCTATAGAGAGTGGAAAAAAAACGAGCAAACACCACCTGTGCGTAGTAAATGAGTTAATAGCCACTATATTATTATCATTAAGTTGAACACAGACAAAATGCACATTCACTTTAATGCTGCGCTCACCCCTGTCTGTGCCATGCCGAAAGGTCCTGGGTTCATCCCCAGAAACAGAATCTTCAGTCCATCCTGACAGTACCTCTCCACATAGCAGCGGTGTGTGTCCCAGGCGTACTCCAGCGGGTTGTAGATGTACCGGACGGGCTCGCTGAAGGTGAGCTGGCGAAGGTGGGCGTTTAACTCCAGTTCAGCCTGCAGAAACCTGGAGGAAGGGGTCAGCTGAGCGGATTCACACAAAGGTTTCTGCCCATCATCTCCACCCGCGACCTCCCCCGTTTCACCTGCAGCTGTAGCGTCATCTGACATGTTGTAAGCGTGTTAAGGTTGTGCCCGTTTGTCCGATAAATACGCTTTACGCTTTGACGGCTTCTTTAAAGGTAAATAAATGTAAACTAGCTGTACAGGAGGCGTTCAGTCGTGTTTTCTTCCTCTGCTCTATCCTGTGTTTCCTTCATCGTCATCTGGTCGCGGTCGAAGTGGCTGCTGCCCCCTAACGCATCACTGATGTCATTACAGCAACCAGGATCGGCCAACCTTCACAGTCAAGGGGTCAAGTAAAAAGATTTGATCGGAAAAACAGGTACAACAACGCAGTCAGATGACAAATCAAATTATTACAGTCGGATGACATATCAGAACCACATGCATAACAAATTATCCAGACAACATGTATAATAACACAGTCACGCAACACACCAAGACGAAATGTAGGCTATAACAAAGTCAGACAACGCATCAAGAACACATTATAACTCAATTGGTAAACATATAAGGATGACAGCTATAACGACACAGTTAGACGACACATAGAAACAACAGTCAGACAAACCAATAAGACAACAGATCTAGTCTACATGTATAACAAGACATCAAGACAACAGAACACAGACAGAAAACAGATAAAAAATTACATGTTACAAACATGATCATGTATTAATCAGGATGAAGTATAACAACATTGTTAGAGGACATGTACAACAGCACAGTCATATGGCATATCAGTAAGAAAGGTTATACATTTCGACATCTTCAGATGACAGGTATTACAACAAAGACATGTGCCAGGTATAGCAACACAGTAAGACAACACATCAGCACAACAGGTATAACGCACAGTCACATGATAGGTATAACATTACAGTCAGAAGACAAGTCTTACGAGTACAACACAGTCTGACATTACATCAGCATGATGGATAAAAATTACGGTCAGAAAACAGGGATAACAACGCTGTCAATTGGCACATCAGGGAGACAGGTATAACAACGCAGTCACACAACAGGCATAACAACACAGGGATATACGACAGGTTTAACAACAATGTCTAAGATGTTGAGACAAAAGCTTTATCAAAACAGTAAGACAACACATCAAGACAACCTGCGTAACAAAACAGTCGGACCACACAGCAAGACAACAGGTATATCAACACAGTCAGATAACACATCAGAGCTCTGTTTCAGAAATCAGGTTAAGTTCAAACACTCTGTCATTTAACCCTGAACTGAGGGAAACACTGTGGGTGTGTTCCGCTGTTATGCCATGACACATTATGCCGCTTCGTTATTCGTGGCAGGCCAGTTCGACAGCAACATGGCTCAATACATTCTGCTGCATCTGCATTTTCCGGTGGCCTGCTGGCAGAATTATACATGTGATTGTGATGTGTCTCTACTACTCGTGAGCACTGCAATGCATGAAAAGTTATAGGAACAGTGAAAAGGGCCAAGCTACAAAGCCACCAAGCGGAGCACCCCTTGCCCGTCTCCATTTAGATATCTTTGGCCTGTTTCCAATATTGAGTTCTAGAAACTAGATAATTCTTGTCATAATAGACCAGTTTACCCGATGGATAAAATCCATTCCTGTTCCTGATTAAGGGGCTGAAACAACAGCAAGGAAGCTTGTGTACTACTTCATAGTTTGATTTGGAGCCTGACTTGGGTCACAGCTGTGAGAGTTACTAGTTTCAGAATGTATGCTAGCTTATCCAGATCACAAAGACCCAAGACTACTCCTTACCAGCCGGCCTGGTGGAACAGATCAACCAAACCTAAACTCCAGATGATCCGGTGCTACGTGAATGAGAACCAAAGGAACTGGGAAAAGCATCTGCAACTTATCACCGTAGCCTTTAAAGATCCAAACATAGCTTCTGCCACTGTTATTGTGCTAAATGTTGCCAAGTGCTTTGCTCATGGTGGATTAATGTTAAGTCCGGTTTAGACATGCCGTTTCTGTAAAGTATCTTGAGTTTCCATTTTGTATGAATTTGCCCTATACTGTACAAATAAAAATTGATTGATTGGTTAACTGAGACAACACATTAAGACAACAGATATAACAATGCAGTCAGATGATGCATCCAGAGCTTCTGCCCTTTATTTGCATTCATGCTAAGATTGAGAGCAAATAAGTCCACATACATATTGGGTTAAAATACATTTTGAAAAGAGGCATATGTTGTTTTTTTACAGAGCATTCTTTTAGTCACTTTTTGCCTTTGTTTAAGAGGACAGTGGATAGAGTAAGAATGTGAGGTGAGAGAGTTGGGAATGACTTGCAGCAGGCCACCTCAAGGCCCAGGGGGTGCTCCAAAGATCTCAGGACGGGTACAAGGCTTTGTCTGCTCTGAGGTTGACAAAATTAAGTTTGCATATACCAAATTTTTATGTTTAACATAGGAGTTAAACGTTAGACAGAAAAAGACATCATCCGCATCTCGTGATTTCAATGAAACACCAAAATAAAATAAACAGTCAGCAAACAGACATTCTTTTCCAATTTTTTTTTTTATTTCAGCATTATAGTAAGAAGCCTCTCCTCTGATTTTCATATACTTGAAACTAATTGGATCACAAGGGTACATATTAGTAAGCCCATTTTACAATAATCATTGTAACATTATTTAGAAAGTTATTCTTATGCACTCATTTTCCTACACAAAATAATTATCAAGATCCTATCTTAACTGAGGACCATAACTCTGCATGCAAGACTTACAAAGAAAACTAATCTGTGATAGCTACTGTTATGCTGTTGTTCATCTAATACCATTATCAATATAATTTACTACAATTACCAGGGACTTCGTATAAGAAAGAAACATTTTCTTGTGGTAATATTGCCTCTAATGTCAAAATTAGCAAACATTGTGGCCTCTCAACTGTACTGATACAAATTGTTCTGTTTGCCGTCTGTGTGAAGTTGAGGAGAAATAGGCTTTGTCTAAAACCTAAAAATCTACTAGTACAGTCTGAAGGAAAAAAAAAAATCTGTCTTTTTTTGTCTGTTTTTTCCCTTCCACTCCAGTGTTTACAATTTCATCAGATTAAAAAAATGGTCCTTGGAACAAACCTTAAAAATGGGATGAGCTAATTCTCAGACAAAGCAATCCTTGTCTCTGTCAGAAAAACAAAAAGATTAAACCTCAATCTTAGAAAAAAATGATCTGAGACTCAAAGATACTATTGCATTTTAAACAATGAGATTGATAATACCATAAACAATAAATGACTAAATGGATTAACAAGCGACGTAATCTATATACTGTATTGCCCTTTAGCTTTTTCAATATGTACTCGAGCCTTCAGTATCCCTTCCACTGATTAGGAATAATGTTCCTAGAGCAAATAAACACATTTCTCAAACTTGACCCTTTTCCTGCCACTGGGTTTGACTTGATCTTAAATTCAGGTAAAACCGACGACATCTCTGTACACACTTATATCGTAACATAACTTTGCCTTGATATCAGTAGACCATCTAAAGAAATCTTCCCAATAATACTTTAGGTATAACATCACATAACTCAGTACTAAGCTGTATTTTTGCACCCAACACAAAAAAGGACCACTTAGAGACAGGATAATGCGACCTGGAATTCCACTTCCACATTTTGTCTACAGCTTAAAATAAAAAAGGGATGGTTTCAGATATCCTTTTCCTTCTGCAGCACAGAAGAACAGCTGTAAAATCTTGATATATACATGTGTTCAATCTAGCAGACATCCTCCGACCCAGCACTGATAGAACACCAACATACCACCAAGAATCGAGTTTGAGAAATTTCCCCAACAGGCAGTGAAGTGGCCCTGATCAACCGTCTCTGACTGTCAAAAGACCTTCACACAGAACAACCAAAGGTCATCATAGGTAAAGAAATCATTTGTTACGATATCATTTAGTACTACATGATTATTTGTGTGTCCGCAATTACTTAAGGCTAAACCCAATGACATGACAGACATCCATCGTTACACACCAACCACACAATATTTGGAGAAAAAAGGCAATTGTTAGTGTGTAGTACAGTCAAGAAAGTATTGATTCTGCTCAGGCTACCATCAGCCAAAGCACTGCAGTAGGAAACAGTTTAGCACGACTGAGGGGCTCCCTTTGGGACTAACTGTGTTACAATGTAAATCAGTAACAATGACCAAAATATTAATTTTCATCAAAACACAACCTCCCACAACAGTCGGACATGTTGGACTGTTTAGGCGCCAATGAAGCTGTCAACATTCTGTAACCATGACAACTTTCAGACAGAAAAAAAACAACATACAATGATGATGAAAGGTTGTCTCATCTTAGTAAATACATCTGATCCACAATAACAAACAGCTGAGAAAAAGGCAAAGAAAACAGAAACACACTAAGGCCACAAGATTTTGTATACCCCCGCTAACCTCACACAGAATGTGAGTCTGTACAAACGACATAATGGGACATCAAGTGGGATATCTGCACCGCTGACCAGGACGTAATGACAGAGCACTGATCTGCCTAGGAGATTGCGAGTGTGAACCATATTTACACACACGGCTGAACGCACGTCAGCCCGACTCTCAGTCAGTGTGGGAGGATGACCTGCTAAGGCTGCCTTCCTGTACCCTCCCGAGTCCTCAGAACGTCTCACACGACACAGAAGGTGAGACACAGGTGATCACCTGAGACTCAACACTTTGTCTGCCATGGAAACACTCTCATTCAGGTTGTCCTTAATCATGCTTTTTTTTTTGGAAGTCCTGGTTTATAGTAAGATCTTTTTTTTAACAAACACTCAAAAGTTACTCAGATTTCTTTTTGATTTCACTGAAACAGAGGCAACAAACTGTATTGAAAGCATTTCTAGTTTTCTGTGTAGGTCGATTTTGTGCATAAAAGACACCACTAATCAAAAATAAACATTTCTGATTATTTAAGAATATAGTCAATGACCGTCTCCTGTGTTGAAAAGCTCAGTGATATCTTCAGATTCAACCGGGATCTGGTCAAAACAAGAGGTCAATGAGTGATTTCTTTGCTCTATAAAAAGGAAATTCCTGCTTTAAAGTAACAATCCTTTAAACTCAAAATGGGCCACACAAGATAACATTAGAAACAAGCTTGACTACGTTTTCTTACCACTTCATCCCATTTTGTTGCCAACACATCAGGATAAACAATACCCACTGCCCCGCCGAGTACCAAATGGAGATATATTTGAACAACAATAAAAACCTTTTTTTTTTTTCTTTTTTGCAAAAATCAAATAGATCAAGTACAAAACAGGACCACTGTTCCATCACAGAAAAGTCTCATCTTTAAAAAAAAAACGGGAGAAAAAGAAACACAGTAAAAAGTCAACAAAACAAGAAGACAAATGTCCCTCAGTCATAAGTAATCCGGAGAGCGGAGCTGCAAGATCCCCCTGTGCTAGAGTGTTATGTCACTCTGTCCAGAGCTGAGAAGAAGAAACCCTGTTGCTTGTTCCGACTCTGGCGGTGTTGTGGCTGTAGAAGAAGGTGGAATGTCAGACCGCCAGCCGGCCCGGAGGGGGATGCAGGGGACTCCAGGTTGGGGGTGCGGGAGGGGGTTCTTGGGGGTATGGGCGAGGGTCGCAGCATGGCTGGTTCTCTACTTTGGCAACGCCGCGACCCTGGCACAGCCTCCGATGCCGCAACAGCCGGTCTGTCCGTGAAAAGTTCTTCAAAACACAAAGTGGACATGATTCAATGAATAACTGAATTGTGTTAATGTTTTTAATTAAGATATTCAAAGGACATTTATCATGCTAATTTTCAGGTTTAGAATTCAACTATGGGACTCTACTAGAGTTTCAAATGACCCCAAAAAGAAAGATTATTTGTAGTTCTGGATATCGAACATAGAAACATCTCAAATCAAAGAGTACAGAACGGATCCACACTAATAAATATTAAAGAATGTGTTACATTAGCCAGATGCCTCTGTTAAAGTAAATATATTTCAATAAACACCTCTTAATAGTTGTATTTTGGAAATGCCAAACATCAGGAAAAAAAAACATGTAACTGTTTAATAAAAATTACAGGTCACTGGATGAATTCCAGTTTGATGAGTACAAGTGCCAAATGAATTCTTTGTGTATCTCTGCATAGTGTTAAATCTCCTGAATATATCCAGGGACTTCTCATTTTACTAGACAGCAACACAGTAGGTGGTTAGGGGTTTAGAACCAGGTAACTTCTTGCTGTGAGGAAACAGCACTAACCAAAGCATCACTGTGCAGCCCCACCTCTCTCAGAATGCTCCGTTTTTGTGTGTGTCTCTTTAAATGCAATGAGCCCCCCCTGAGTTTTCCCTGTAGACATCACTCCTTCGCTAGCGAGAATAAAAATGGCAGACCTGCGCAAAAGTTTTGTTCTAGGCTGGGGGTGTAGCCCATGGTTTGGAGATACCAGGGGAGGGGAGGGGAGGGGATTTTTTTTTTACCAGAGCAAATTTGTCACAAGCAGAGCAAATTTGAAACGGAGCACTTTTCTCTGTATGTTAAGACTTATGCAGACCACAAACAAAGGACTGGGTGGGTTTATTTCTCATTTTGTGGGTCGGTAGGCAATAAGGTTACCCAAACATATGTTCAAAAACACAGTCAAAGTGGATTTTTCACAATATGTCCCCTTTAATACTTAAAGTATTTAATCATGGTCATTTTCATTTGCTGACATCGGTACATACCTGCTGGCAACGTTCACACTGGTAAGGCTTCTCCCCACTATGGACACGCTTGTGTCTCTCAAGGTGGTAGCGTTGGATAAACCTCATATCACACATGTCACAAGCAAATGGCTTCTCTCCTAAAAGAGCACACAGATACAGAGTCAATGCATCAATTTTAGCGTCTCATACAAACACATTGTGGCAATTTATAGTTATAATCTTTATTTGCAGACTGTATTTCCAACACTGACAAATAGTTGGAAACAAACCTTCCCTAGCATGTATTGCTACAGTGTTCTGTTATCTGAAGATGATATTCTTAAAGGCCTCGTCATCAACTCATTATGTGCCGATCAGAGTGGAATTTCTTGTTTTGTGGCCCAGATCTATGCAGCATGTTGGCCCAAAAAAAATCTGGGACGATTATTTTGAGGCTGGTTCAACATCCCATCAAATGACTTGACAATCTAAGCTCGAGTTTGTTGTTACCCCAAAGCACCAGAGCCTCTCTCGGCGATAAGGGTATGCAGTAATAAAGGATCGCGTACCCGTATGAGTGAGGCTGTGTCTCTCCAGGTGGTTACGCTGAATAAACCTCATGTCACACATGGAACAAGCATACGGCTTCACCCCTACACACACAGAGCAATATATTAGCCCTGCCGCCGACAGGTACAAGAAATACAACTTTCAAGCTCAATCTAACACTGAGTTAACAGCTCATCATTTCTGAATGTATGAATGTAAAGTGCATTGTGCTTTTTGAGAAAACATGTTGAAATGTTGTCATGCAACCATCATTTAAACTATGAATATAGTTAAGATATTAACACATCTAGGAGCTAAGTAATGACTGACATTATAAGGAAAAAACCCAGGTCTGTTAAATGTGCAGTATGTGAATTACAGTTTTTGTCTCAATGCATATAATTTATATCCTCACTGTACAAAGCAAAAACAAGACTATTTCAGCATCCTCTCTATAAATTATGCTTATATTTACATCAAAAAAGAAATAAGCAATAACCTTTTTACACAAGCAAAAACGCAACCAACCTAATTTTTCATTGGACTTTCTCTGGATTTTTTTTCAGATCTTTCTCTGGATCAGTTTGATCTGCACATAATGAAGCTACTTCATACTCTATTCTGCTTGCTTGTTTATACTTACACTTAGCATTAGCATCTTTAAAGATTAAAATCTGTAATGCCACTTTAAATGACAAATGGTTTAATGCAATCAAATGCCATTACAGATGCATTATAGGGGTATTTAAGGTGTAATTGTGATTTTCTTGGGGAAGTTCTGTGTCCTTTAGATTGACTGATATGTAAAACGAGGTAAAAAAAAAAAGAAGTGTTTTTGATGCTGTTAGATATTTGACTTTTTTTGCACTCTAGCATTAGTTATACAAAGTATAATCTCAAACTGCTGGTTAAAAAAAAAAAAGAGAACACCAAAAATCCAAACTTAAGGCCTGCACGCTCACAAAATAAATAAAAGTAACTCATGTAACAGATGTTTTGAGAAAGTGTAATGCACAAATGTTATGTATTGGTTTTTGACTTGTGATATCTAACACTTCACACAACCTGTCAACTATTCTGGAAAGAGAGAGAGAGAGAGAGAGAGAGAGAGAGAGAGAGAGAGAGAGAGAGAGAGAGTTTTTAACAGATATCCTCAACTAGTTTCCTATAACAGTGATGTTGAACTTTAATATAAAAACTGTAGTGTAAAGCTAACAGTAACTCACTTAAACACCTACGAAAGCATACATTACACTCATTAGGGCAAACACACAAAAGAATCACTAATACTAGCTCAACAAAAAAAGTATATTGTGCTCTATTTAATGTGAGAGGGGCAGGTGCACGGACCCATTACCCGTATGAGTGAGGCTGTGTCTCGCCAGGTGGTAACGCTGAACAAACCTCATGTCACACATGGTGCAAGCAAAAGGTTTCACACCTAAACGCAGAGCATCCATACATTATTTCAGGACTATCAAGATCTGCGTCACAATCCATCAATCAGTTATGAACTACCTATCTATTATGTACTGTAAATATCTCTTTAGAATTGATGGGTTGTTAACCATTTCTCACTTTCTAAGAGTTTTTCAAAGTCCAATTAGCAAAATAAAAAACTGTCAATCAAATTTCAGATCCACCACTAAACACATCACATGAGCTGATGATGTCACAGTCCTGTACTCATTGACATGTGAAGACTTTAATGTGACATTTTTTTACACACATAGTACACTCTAGCCTTGAACAAGAAATTATGTACTAAACTGTTACATTCAGAGAAGTTACGATAACTGCCTTTTACAGCAGACCCTGTCATCATGTAAGTACAGTCTGATCTCAGTGACGTGGGTACGGTGGGCGGACGCATACCCATATGAGTGAGGCTGTGTCTCGCCAGGTGGTAGCGCTGAAAAAACCTCTTGTCACACATGGTGCAAGCATAAGGTTTCACACCTAAATGCAAAGTAGCAATATTGTGTTACTTTACCTTGACTTTTCAAATCAAAACCTAAGCTATTGGTTATTAACCACACATAGGCCAATTCATGCAGAAACCAGAAGATGTGTAAAATGTTTCCTGTATGTAACGCTAAGTAGACAAATCTACACAACAGGCAGTTTTAGCATGAAAACCAATCAGAATCATTTATTAAAGCCATTAATATTCAGTTATTACTTTCAGTAAAGGAGTAATGCAGCCAATGCCCTAATGTTTGCGTGCCTCATGTTAAAAGCTGTTTGTCCTTAAGAAGGAGTTTCTTAAGTTCATGGCTTTATGTGAATGTTTAAAAGTATATCTCAATGTACGGTAATTCACATTTATTAAAAATCATTCTACCACTAGCAGTGTTTCCCACAGATGACAATGTGCACATGTTAGTGGAGGAGGAGGAAACAGAGGGTGTTTATATTACCATGATTACATGGTAATATAAACAATAACATGTTTTAATTACAGTAGATTATTTATATAGGGTTAGATTACATATTAATTGTGCCTTGTTCTCCCATTTATTCTCGTGCTTGTTCACAAATGACATAAATCTGCTCACCATACTTTCTTTCAGTTCCATTAGACACACGCACGCATGCCTGTCCTCTATTAAAACACAGTGGCTTGTCCCGCTGTGCCTCCTACCATTTCTCTATACCTTTATTTGTCTGATCTTTCTCATTGGGCTACTCATCAGCAGTACGTTTTATAAAGATGCCCAGATAACACTGCTTCACTGGTTATTCTGTTAACGCAACACGGTAGCCGAGACTATTTAATGAAGTTACGTATCAAAACAATCTATAACTAAGAGTGTAGAATGACATAAGCAGACAACATCCCACAATTAAAACAGTGGAATGACATAGTTCAGTTTTCATATGAGACGTCGCACCTCAATCAAAGCATTACTAGGAGGGGCATAGGAGAAGATGTCTCCCTCTCTCTCTCTCTCTCTTTGATCATCCACAGTGCATGTGTCAGGTGCTCAGGGTTATCAGAAGCTAAGACTGAGATGGAGAGTTTTTCAATACTTCATTGAACGCAGATGGCAATCTTATTGGGATACTCAATGCTAATGTTTGGCCATAAATATACCTAGGCGGCCTGTCCAGGTATCGTCTATATGTGGGAAACACTGCATTAGTGTTAAAATTATTTTTAAAAGGTTTACAAAATTATATAATTTTTTGAAAAGCCAGTTTAAAGAACTGAACTAAAGAAAAATGACATTTTCTATTAACCAACTATAATGATTGATTGTTAGTGCCTGAATGTGCTAAGAGTTGAGGTTATAGGACTTTAACACAAATGGCTCAACTGTTTTATACACTACTTCTGATTTGCTATGCCTGAAAATAAAGCATCTCTTTTTAACAGTCTGTGTTTCTAATATAACAAAAAAAAGGCTATAAAATAATGAAGTTCACAATATGAGAAGGGCAGGTGCACTGACCCATACCCGTATGAGTGAGGCTGTGTCTCGCCAGGTGGTAACGCTGAACAAACCTCATGTCACACATGGTGCAAGCAAAAGGTTTCACACCTAAACGCAGAACATTGAGGTATTATTTTCAGTCTTTGTATTTGTTTGTGTTCACAACCCATCATCCTGATCAAATAGAAATCAATTGTCCATATTGATGGGTTGTTCACCACTGTTTGTAATCATTCAGATTTTTCTGTTGAAACAAATGACTATTTGTCCTCAATTATTGTTTATAACCAAAGTCCCCCCAAAAAATTGTGCAAACCAATTCTCAAATCCACAACTTAAACACCACACATGAGCTGATGATGTTGCAGTCCTGTTTGGCTTCACATATAAATAATTTACAGACATAATGAAGAGTAGGCTTGATGAAGAACGCTTTAAACTGACTAGTTCAAGAGAAAAGTGAAAAATCCCAAAGGGGGGTGGGCTCTGTAAAAGCATTATGTTAAGTACAGTCTGATCATGGTGGAAGAGGTACGGTGGGCGGGAGCCTACCCATATGAGTGAGGCTGTGTCTCGCCAGGTGGTAGCGCTGAAAAAACCTCTTGTCACACATGGTGCAAGCATAAGGTTTCACACCTAAATGCAAAGTAGCAATATTTTAATACTTTGCCTCGATTTCCATTTTTCTCATTTAGAAATTATTATCTACCTTATTGATTATCAACCACACAAATGCTAATTCATGCAAAAACACAACAAACCTTTTTTCCACCAAATAATTATTCATAATTCCTTGAAGATGTTTATGTATTAATGTGATAACCAACAACCAAAAAAACAAGATGATGATTTCCACTATCCTGTTCAACTGATGTAGATTATTGTAAGTAGCCTTGGAAATATGGTTTAATACTCCCAAGTGACATTTCCTTACATTAAGCAGGCGTAAGTGAACTAAGAAAACTGTAATATGCACACTGATTTCTAACACTGAATGTCATGGGCACGGTGCACGGACCCATACCCGTATGAGTGAGGCTGTGTCTCGCCAGGTGGTAACGCTGAAAAAACTTCATGTCACACATGGTGCAAGCATAAGGTTTCACACCTAAACGCAGAGCAGCAAGACAATTATTTTTGTGTCTCTGCAACCAAGAAAAAAAAAAACAGATAAATCTGTTCAAAAATATCATGGGTCCTAATCTGGGCTAAATTGATAACTGTGGTTAATAACCAATGTCATACCTCTAAATTGAAGTGGACAATATGAATGAGATACTTGTTTCAAATACCAAATTCGAGATGGGATCTTAAAATCCATTTACACAACACATGAGATGATGATGTTATCCATTTGTATTACACTTCAATGATATGTGTATAAATACAGACTAAATTAAGCAGACAGATGATGCAACATCCTAATCATGTGACTGGGTTAAGATTGGCAGACGCATACCCATATGAGTGAGGCTGTGTCTCGCCAGGTGGTAGCGCTGAAAAAACCTCTTGTCACACATGGTGCAAGCGTACGGCTTCACCCCTATACAGACAAAGTACCAACTTTAGCACAAAAAGACTCAACTGCCAAAAATGATCGATGTTAAACGTTACTAATTTCTTAGTAAAGTTTGGTCGCACTAGTCAGCGCTCTGATTCAACTGGAAATTCCAGGAATGTTTCCAAGATATCTGCTTTTCCAATTTGAAAAGTCATCTGATTCACATCTGATTCCAATGGAGACGTAACTGCTAAAGTTCTAATGCTGAACATTAAATAGGGAAATTTTTAGGGATAATGAAAATGTCTCGAGGAGAAGGCAAAATGACCTAGTCATCAAACCTGCAACTATCTGAGGCCAAAGTCCCAGTTAGCATGTTCCTGCTATCACTATAGAAAGATTTTCTGGGCCCGATAGCGGTTTGTGTTTTCATGATTTCGACTTAGACTATATTGATTTCTGGGATAAGTTGGTGATCTGACGACTTGAATTTTTGTAACGCTGATCAAAGGGGTCAGACTATTTTAGGCAGTTGGTTGACATTATGGTTGTACATTTGTTTGCAGAGCATCTTTTGAGATTTTACTTCAATATACGTATTACAGTACAGAAAATATTCTAAAAATCATCACATAGAATCTAGCTTGTGAGTGAAGCAAAAATAAATCATTAACCTTGTTTTAAAGTTTATAACGTTTTTGTAAAAGCAGCAGACATTATAATGACTATCCTCACACAGAATCTGTTTTCCAATATGAAAGCCATTGAGATGAAAATATCCATTACAGCATGTAACATGATATTTCCTCACCATAACTTTGAATGTGAAATGACCCAAATATAACATTGTGTGAAGTCAGCTCTTAACGACTGTTTTCTCGTTTTCATGGAGGAAAAAAAAAAAAAAACACTACGTCAATTTGAGCCTAAACTAAATAACTGCAACTAAATCATCAATCCTATGGACATTTACCACCTTCAGCAGATTACATAACCAACAGACCAACTTTCTAAGAGAAGCTACAGCTCATCTGGTAACATCGTCTTTTGTTGCACAAACATTGAATTGATCAGCTCTGTGTTTACACAAACCTGCAGCTACTTCTCTCTAAATGTCTCAACCCAGAATCTCTATTCTACCATTTGACATATCTAGTTGAGAATCTGTTTAGACACAGTCTGATCTTTTATTACACAGCTCTGATGTGTTTTATAATGTGATATATCCAAACCGGGAAAGAGACATTTTTATGTTAACCTATATATAAGGTCTTTAAGTAAAGTATGCTAATTAAATGGTGTTAATTTCTTTGAAAAAGTTTATAAGTAATACAAAATGTAGTTTTTCTGGAATACATATTTTTACCATGATGATGATAATAATGTGCTGACCCACATTTGAATTTGCCAGGGTATGATTTCTATTAATACCTGAGTTGTCATTTCAAATACAAAGTATGGGCGGAGCGTTGTTATGCAAGCAACTATGACGGTCCCTACAGAAGCTACAAAAACATTAGCACTTTTAACAAGGGACAGAAAGCAATCTGAACTCAGGTTTGCAGCAGCCGTATAAGCATGAATGTAAAGCGCATGCATGATTATAGTCAGTGATAGAGAGGTGGAAAGGTTAAAAAAATGAAACATACCTGTATGAGTAAGACTGTGTCTCTCCAGTTGGTAACGCTGTATGAACCTCATGTCACACATGGTACAAGCATATGGCTTCACTCCTAAACAGAGCACAACAATGTTAGACGCATTTCAACACGCAGATGAAGTTCAGTTCATCAAGATTTAAATGTTTACCATTGTTGCATGCATTAGCTCTGTCAGACATCAATTAAGACACATTACACAAAAAGAGTCTAAACTAGCAGATGTCAAGAGTCCTGGTGCATCACACACAGATATCTTCAGGGATTACACATTGCAGTTCAGAATATTTTGCTAACACTGTGGTTATACAGCCAACCAATTGTTGATGTTGGTGAAAAGCTGATCTTTATTTCCTATTTTAGCCAGTAGAAACATCATTTTCTGTGCCTTAGAAAACATCAAGAGAGTAGCCCATTGTGCTCATATAGGACTATTGAGGCCTGCATTTGAACTCTTTTTATTGTACTGTGCCTACAGAGCATTTTATATAGTACCCAACAATACACATGCAAAAGTACCATTACAATGTAAATCACAAAAAAGGTAACTGACAGTGAGAGTCACTTTTTCAGTGGACAGTTTTCCAACAAAGCCTACAAATTTATATTTAAACATTTTAGAAGGGGAATTGACAATAATAAGAAAAGGAAAAATGTGTAGGGTGTCCATATGAAAGGTGTCGTGGGGAAAGGGGAACAGTTAATTCAAGCATACCAGTATGAGTGAGGCTGTGTCTTGCCAAATGGTAACGCTGGAAGAACCTCATGTCACACATGGAGCAAGCGTATGGCTTCACCCCTAAATGCATACAGTATCAAACTTTAGAAAAGTGTTCTCATCAGCTATGTACACAAATATGTCATTTTACAAACAGAAGTAGTGTTCAATTTTATAATTAACTAGTCAATATTCAAACAAGACAGAAAATGTTTAACTGTAACCCTAAAAATAGGTAACAAATACATTGAGTACACCAGAAAAGAAAACAAGAAGAGGGGCTGAGTAGCAGAAGTTGTATATTTATGTATATTTTTATATCAAAGTACTCTAAAAGTAAAGGGTGAGCATGTTCAACGCCTGATGCTGTCAGGTGAGAGGGATAAGTAAAAGTTATACCCGTATGAGTGAGAGTGTGTCTTGCCAGGTGGTAGCGTTGGAAAAATCTCATGTCACACATGGAGCAAGCATATGGCTTCACCCCTGCACACAGAGCAGAATACTTTGTAAAAACGACACAATGAACTGAACAGGACTCACTTAAATTATGTATCCAGACATGCCAAAAGCAGGGACATGACATAACACTTTATACATTTGCTTACATTTTTTGATCTTTTAACATGTTTGATAAAGGGACCTAAATAAAAACAACTTCTGGTTGAACTAAGTACAGTTTTTTAATGCTGGAAGTGATAGGAACCATCTAAAATATCTTATGATCAAAGTTAAGGTTTTATTTACAGGCACTGCATTGAGGTAAAAATAAAGGGGCATATTATTGTAAGTAAAACAGGGTATTTGGGCTCTTGTGGAGTAAATAAAGGGGGAACCTGTACCCGTGTGAGTGAGGCTGTGTCTTGCCAAGTGGTAGCGTTGGAAAAACCTCATGTCACACATGGAGCAAGCGTATGGCTTCACCCCTGCACAAATAAAAAGTCTTTAAATATAAACGTGAAACAGGACAAAAATGAACACAATACTGCAATTCTTTATGTTATCTAATCATCCTGGGACACAAAGTATTGTTTGTATAGTACATGATTTAGCATGAGACGAAAAGTAAAAATTCAAGCACCTCAAATGACATACCTCTAAGCAAAGAGCAAAAGTTGTGTACATTTAAGTGCCCCACTATGTACGTGCTCACGAGATATGGTTTTTACTTTTAAATATTACTAACCTAATACATGTCTGAATACCTCTCAACTCTGAATAAGAGTATTTCAATGTTTTAGTCACTGTAGACATCAATCAATTATAGTTAACACTTATATTAGTTCAAAAGTTAAGACACTTCTTAAAACCCTAATGAGCTCAGGTAATCAGACGCCTACCAGTATGAGTGAGGCTGTGTCTTGCCAGATGGTAACGTTGGAAGAACCTCATGTCACACATGGAGCAAGCGTACGGCTTCACCCCTACATACACAAAGTTTCAACAGGTTAGCTAAGATGTTCCTTAAGCATCAAAGGAAAGCAGGGTTCACAGACAGTTATTCACTGGGACCTGGCAAACATTACACATTCCACTCAAGCTTCATGTCAAAACGGGGATTTGTTCTACTTTAACTAAAGTGTCTTTTGTCATGTAGAGAATTAATTTACAAATGATCAAGAGCTTCTTGAAACAAAAGCAGCAACAACATAGAAGCCAAGCATGTATGAAACAATACATAAATGTAAGCAGCAATAGAAAAATATCTACAACGGTGATCACACTGGCCAGCTGAAGCTGAAACGTTTGCAACTTCTCAAACCCCTTAGCTATTACAGTTCTGGACAACATGTTGTAGCATTTTGAAAATCATATGTGATGTAACTTACTGCAAGTCGATCTTGATGTGTCATCAACTTAGTGCATGTCAGTGTATGTTGCTTTGTAGTGTTAGAGGTGTTTCCTGTTCCCTAGCACTCCACAATGAAGATCTGCCTCAACTATCTAGAAGCTACCAGTCTGATCTCCGCCATACACTTTACAGCAGGAACTTCTTCACAAGCGACCGTGCAACAGTATAATGGAGAAAATTCATTTTGAAAAGCCAGACAATTATAGCTTAGACACTGACTTGGCAGCCATAAATAGTTTTGAAAAATGTACGTGTGGACATCAAAGGACTATTCCATTTTATACCATGGCCTACAACAACTTCTACAGGGCTGGACCCGGCAGGAGGGCCGTATGTCAAACTGTTTACCACTGTAAACGACAGAACTTTTAATAATGAATCTAAAAGCAGATTTTAGCCTTCAATTAAAGCGACTGACTAACAAGCACATTTTCTAGGAGTGTATTTGTAAGGCAACATGTTTTTTCCTTATTACATAGTGACCAATCTGCCCATCGCTTACAGATCATCGATAACACTATGTCACTTTAATCAAAAGTAGCTATGTTTACATGTTCAAAATCTTATTTTTTAATTCTAAATAAAGTGATCCCAACGTGTGTTGCATGCCTCAATCATTTAATCAGAGTATTCAAACGTGAATTTTGACATGCGCATAGATGTCCTATCGGTCTCGTTTAGCTGTTACTTCCTGTTAACAGGACTGACAGGACAAAAAACTGTGCGCTGACTTGTGAGAACTTGATCTCTGCTCTTTGGAACGTCAGATACATTTTCTGTCACTAGGTGTGTGTCCATCATTCTCCGGAGTGAGATCCGTTTCAAGAAAAACTCAAGCCCTGTAGTGTTTATTTCCCGTTATTATTTCTTGTCTAGTTCTGGATAAGTACTCCTGAGTCACTGAGCAAGTTGACTCCACCTGTGCTGTAAATAAACACGGCTGTCACTGCACGTATCCAGATGTTGCCCCTCCACTCTCCCCCTTCCTGTGCGATAAGAGATTTAAGTCTCTTATCTCACGTCTGTGACTTTAGATGTCTGTTTTTTTATTTGACCCTTTTCTTAACTTTCTTTCTTCCTAATTAAGCTGCAAGCTCAGCAGTTAACAACTGCCCTGCAAACGATAAACAGGGGGAGAGTGCTGGTCTGCAGGAGGAGCTGTTGTTCAACATGCACCATTGAAGAGATGGGCAGACATGGGCAGTAAGAATAGTTTTGCCCCAACCAGTAAGACACAATCGAAGTGTGTACAACGATCAACGACTGGCATAAACCACCCCTCTCGTTCAGATGGAAATTTCTCTCCGATGAGCCGTATCCGATCACTCTTTTCAGATTGTCATGTTTACATGAAGCATTTTTATTCTGATCAAGCTTTTATTACGATCATTTGTGTCCATGTAAACATAGCTAGTGATCGCACCTCCTTTAATACAACACTAGTTTAAAAAAATGACAGATTTCCACATGATAAATACCAGTGGAAAAAATACAAAATAGATTCATATAAAGCCAGTTGTTTTTGAGCGGCAATGATAGAAAAGAGATCAAATACTTTGAGTGGTCCACAGGAGCTTTGTGACTGTAACTTAAGCAATATTCACTCCTGAAAACTTTATGACATTTTTAGGTCGAGCTGCATGTGTGAACACCAACAGATGAATTTTTCACTTCTACTTCACTCTGAATTTTTCCTGTCTGCCCCCTAGTAAAATGTTCTATGTGAAGTTGTGGTGAGCTGATATGTGAATGCAGCAGTTACTATTCAGGAAATTAACTACCAGCGTGAGGGGATGAAGACTTATATCCTGCGACCACAGATTGTGTAGTGCACGACTGGTGGGATCTCTGTGCATGTAATGCCTGCTTCTTTATACTTGTGTTCCCTGTATGATTTTCTCTGACATGTTCACAGCATCAAAAAAGAGAAAACTACTCGTGGCATTAATAATAAAGCATAAAAAACTGTCCCCCCAACTTCCACCTGACAGGATAGTCACCGGCTGTGGAGGTGCATGTATTCAGAATCAGGTCAGAGAGATTGAGTCAGGGGCAGCCTACCTGAAAATTTCTAGAGATTTTCAGAAGTGCATATGCGAAAACAGCGACACATTGTCTATTTTCTTATGATGTGTCATATTGTACAACTGCAAAAATATATTGATATATACAAGATCAGTGCTTTTATTGCTATGTATGAACTCCAACAGTCAAAACCCTCGATGAATCAGTGTTGTGTTTCTGTTCACTCTGAACTCATCCTACAGTGGCACCTTGGCATCCTTTAATGAAATGATAAATATAATACTAAAGGATTATTTAAACATTCTGTTTTTTCAAGCTTTGATTGCATAAGACAAATTCCTGTCAATGAGACTACTTGATCATTTATGGTTTCTTTACTTGAACTGGGTACGGTAAAAGGACGCATACCCGTATGAGTGAGTCTGTGTCTCTCCAAGTGGTAACGCTGGAAAAACCTCATGTCACACATGGAACAAGCGTACGGCTTCACTCCTACACACACAGAGCACACAATTATTAGCTATTCAGGTCTGTCAAAATAAAATGTGGATAACAACAACAACAAAATATAGATCTAGTGTTGCCACAGTAGCAACAGCTTATAATTGATGTAGAAATTGGATTGATTCATAATTGATATCCAAATTTGTATGTATGAACCATGCTTACAGGGCTTATTAGACTTGGTCATCATTAGTTTGGTGTTTTTCTTTCGGTGAATACTGACTTGGAAATGTATTCCGGTGGAAGTTAACTTACCCACAGCATACTTCTTAAAACAATGAAAAACAAAGAGATATATGTAAAAAGTTTAAACACAAATGTTTTTAAATGTAGTCCTCCATTTTCTGTTTGTATGCTGTATAATCAATTAAAAGCATAGTCCTTTGATGTCCATGCAATTACTTTCTACTTATTTAGTAATAATTATATACAAACAATATTTTTAACAAGAAACAAATCATGCATGTCTTTTGCTGCCTGTGCATGGAGGCTTCCTCATTCTTACACTGGGGTCCAGAAGCCTGAGTCCACTTTCAAAAAGTCTTGTTCACAGAACTGATTACAGTCATCTTAAGCGAGATATTTTTATGTTTATACTTATAGTTTACCGCAATTGATTGCATTTTTAATTGCCAGTACATGTTCAAAGTTCCATTTTGTTGCACTCTAATGCTATGTTTTTATTTTGCATTGTACTGCCTTGAGCCAACAGTTCTTTACATCTCCTTTGGATACAAAGTCAAACCTATCTTTAGGTTGAAAGGATATAAGGAACTTAAGGTAGACCAAAAGCTTTAACCATAAAAAAGGAACTTGTTCTGGATCGAGAAGTAAAGGAAAACAGCTGAAGAGGACTGAAAAAAGTGATATGTTTGATGTCAAAAGGAGGACATTACTACATTCACTGTGCCCACAAGGAGATGCTGCTGTCTGTCTACACCAGTGAGTAGCATATGAATTTTAATTTGCTATACATAGCAAAATGGTATTTATTATTATTACGTTATATTTTATCTTGTAATTGTTTAAGTAAGCCATTATAAATGATACAATTGGTGTTGCTGTATAGCTGAGAAGTTCCCCTGCATTTATCCACTTCTAAACTGAGGTTGTACAAGAGCTACACACTGCTGAGAGTTGCTCAAGTCAAACAATCCAAAACACAACAGCTTTGGTCAAACAATTTATGTCTTCAGATTGGGTCTGCTTCACCTGTGCCCATTACTGAATGTGTTAATGCAATGCCCAATTGTGCAATGTGACGTGTTGATTTGCATGAGACTTAGAAACATGCAGCGACTGCTCGACTGCGGGACGCAGGAGTATTTGGTTTAGGAGAAAATTATACTTTTGAGTGACCGCACCCTGTAAAGACCAGTATATCAAGCTGACATCCTTGCAGGAAACAACAGCATTTGCATCAACTTGACACATTCAAATAAGAACATCTTATTTGACTTGTTTAACAAGTCAAAACCATCAGCCCCAAACTGAGACTGTACCAAACAAGATCCAAGGAAAAATGAAAGTCAGGAATGAGCTGGTTTAACAGATAAATCAAAGTAGGAACTTGCGATAACAATTCATCCCAGTCACATGAGGTACTTTTTCTGTCAATAAGCACCAGGCTCTAAAGCCAACAATTCTACAACTGATGCCAGTTAAATGTAAGCGTTCATTTAGGCCAATAATGGATGTCCAAAGCAGAACATATCTATATTTGATCTTTAAAGTTTAAACAACACTTTTCAATAGTGGACTCAGGACCATTGGACCGCACTGTATTATATAATCCTCCATTAGAATTTCCTGGTGTTGGGGATCAATATGCATGAGACAAATACTGTGCTTTATTTTGGGGGGTGGTGAACAGATTTAGGGGTTGGCTTTGTTGGAAATTACTGTCCACAGACAAAAATGAACCCTCAGATTGATCCAAGTGGCAGACTACAGATGTAGTCCCGTTTATGTAATATGGGTACGGTTAAAGGACGCATACCCGTGTGAATGAGGCTGTGTCTCTCCAGGTGGTAACGCTGAATAAACCTCATGTCACATACGGCACAAGCATACGGCTTCTCCCCTAAACCGAAGAGCACCAGTTTTAGTTCAAGTCCCCACAGATACCACCAATTAGCTGTGAGGCAAAAGCTATTACCAAACATAGTTTTTAAGCAGGCCATAGTAAAACCTTACAATTGCTGCATACTCCTAAGATTCAGTCCAACTCAAGCGTTCTGTGCCTCTATCAACACGATTCATATAATCAAGCATAACAAGGTGGCTTAAATGTGAACGTCAGTTGTTCTAAGCGTGACCCATACCTGTATGAATGAGGATATGTCTCTTCAGGTGGTATCCACTCCTAAATGCTCCATAACAGTGATCACAAATAAAGTTTTTCTGCACTTTGGATGATGGGCCATTTTCATCTCCTCCAGTGCCCTAATGAGAATGATAGAAAAGTATGGTTCAACATTTGTGTCAAATATCACACTAAGGGTGCAAAAATGATACAAACTGAGCTACACAGAAACAATGTGTCAAACATACCCACCCACAACCGCTGATGAAACGCTAGAACTCAGGTGAAATTTCAGTAAATGTAAGCCATAATGTATCAATCACACACTGAATACTTAGCGCCTATAATCCTAATCCTTTGCATATCTTTGATATTTTTTTTCCTCCTCTTAAACCCAAATGATCTTTCATGTGAACACACAATAAAGGTTTTCTTTTTTTGGGGCTTTTTTGTTTACATCAGCGTATTTAACATCTGAAGTGAGAAACACTGCACAATCTCTTTTGATGGCCTAATGCCCTCATGTTACTGCTCCCCCCCCCCCCCCCCCCCCCGTTATGCACACAACCGCAGTTATTGTGCTCGGCTTCACTCTGCTCCCCTCCCCCCTCTTTCCTCTTCAGAGATCCTCCACCCCCTCCACATCTTCCCTGAACTCCTCCCCCCACCCCCACACAAACAAAAAGTGCACACATGAAGGCTCCAAGTCAGGCGCACTTGAATAAAGTGTTTTTACAAAAACGTGTTAGCAGCTCGCAACACTTTTTGTTGTGATGAGAGAAAAAAAAAGGGGGGAAAATTAACATGCATAGCAGAGACCAATCCCTTTTTAGCGACCACAGCCACTGACCTTCCCTCCCCTTCCCTCTTGTTCTCTCACTTTACAGGGCGTTACTGATTTCCTGTTCTTTTTTTTCTGCTGCATGTCCTCATTGGCTCTCATCTCCTTCTCGTCCAGCAGGCGGGGAGCTTGGTATTCACCTTCCTTCCGGATAAGCTTCAGAGACAGAAAAAGTCAATTATTTCCTGATATAAGAAATGTATCTATCCATCAATTTAAAAATGATCTGGAAATGACTTGAATGATCTTCTTTCATTTGTATTTTTGACACTTGATATAAAGTGTTTAATATTGTTGATAAACAAATTTTGGGCCTGTATTTAATGGAAACCAACATGATCTGAAGCGATATATATATATTTTTTTTTTTTATTCATCGGATTATGCAGGGATAACATCCACGTTTTGTTCTCTCTGGAACAAATGTGTTTTTTAATACATAGGAAAATGGTGACAGATGGAGGTCTGGGGATAATGGCATATGTGGAGTTTCTTAAACTGTTACTTTCAGTTACAGATAACCTGTTCTTTATCGTATTCATTTTTGAGATGACATCAACTTGCATTTTGGGCTAGAGATGTTCAAAAATAATAAAGACAACTGTGTTGGTCATTCAATAGGTTAAAGCATCATGACTTGCAAAGGGTCCTCACCAGGGGCGGACAGCTCATTCCAGATGGGAGGATCATGTGACTCTGGGGAGCACGATCAGGTCCATCTCTCTGCGGTGGTCCATGGCCAAGTGGAGCCATCATTTTTTTGGGTGGAGCAGCCATGGAGCTGGCCTGCATCAAAGCCATGCTGGAGAGGACAGCTTCGCAGCCAAGCAGCCCCGCCTGTGTAGAAAGAGAATAGAGTACAACAATTTACTCACTATGTCAAAGATATAGAAAACGCTTACAATGTTAAATTATCTGCAACTTTAGTTGACAAGTTGGCATTCGCCAAACTAGCCTTCAACGACAACATCCTGAGTGACACAAGACTGCAAGTAAATTTTTTTATAACCACTTTGGTGGTCTTAAAAAACAAACCCATTTCATATGGTCGCGGACTGAGCTGCTGGGCAGATGTGACATTGCTGTGGTGTATGTGAGCGCAGGGACAGGGGTTGGGACAAGGTCATCCAGAGATCCGTCAGTCAGGATGGTCGGGCTGGTGGGAAGCCACACCCACCTCACTCATCTAGCATTAAAACTGAGGAAGGGGAGGACGTGGATGAAACAGACAAACATTAAAATTACCACAGCATCCCTTGCTGCCGTTATAGGTAAATAGTCAATCGTTTCCACTTAAGATTGTCTATTTTCTTTCAAAACAACATTTACATATCTAAAAACATGACACACAAAGATATGACTGTATAATAGTTCTGCATAAGCTACAATTGAGAATCCAGTACTTAAGCAGCTAAATAAATTGAACAACACAAAAAAACAGCCAATAAACATAAATAAAGGTATAACGAATAGCCTGTCTATGTTACGCTTGTTACTTTTGGACACCAGGGTTTAACTTGAAGTATTTTTTAACATATACATTTTATTTCTGTTTGTTATTGAATGTTTCAGAAATCAGGTAATTATTTTTTTTAGTTCACACAGTAACAATGCGAGACTTTTGATCAGCATAACTTCAAAAGCTACAGCTCCTAATTGGAATCAGAGGTACTTATGTCTTGAATCAGAAACCAGTTTGGATTTAGAACCAGTACTGTATAACTAATACAAAAAGTAACAGATAACCATTTTCCTACGAGCCCTACAAATTTAGCAAATACTGTATTGACCAATGGTTTCAGTATCAGTAAACTGCATGCTGGCAATCCAGCCATTCGAGCACACCTGCATGTTCTGGGTGCACATTAAACTTTATCTAAAGCCGTTTTCACATTATGCACTCCGGATAATGTCTAGATAATTACAGGAAGTATGCTCCGGAGATTCTCCCGACCTAGTCGTTCACATATGCTCCTCACAGCGGGGGACTATCCCTGATAGAGGGGAGGGGGGGAGGAGGATTTCCTGAGGTAAGACGTGACGTAAATAAACAACGCAAAAGTGGAGTCCGCTACACGACGTTAAAATTAGAATATTTTCCTTTATATCAATGCTATGTGTAATCCAATGGAATGACAACATCCACAAAAGAGAGGAGAACAACATACTGACGAACAGAAAACATAATGCAGCCGTGTAATGACGTGAACGGAGATCGTAGTGGTCGCTTGCAGACACTTTAGGCAGTCACTATATAAACGTCACTTTCTTTCTATTGGCTCGAGTTGAAATCTCCGGAGTATATGCTGCCGCGTTCAGACATCAGCTCACTCGGATTTTCTGCGGATAAAATACTAGAGGTCTGGCTGGAGAAACTCCAGGTAGCCAAGTCTCCGGAGTTTTTCAGGAGATTTCTGTATGTGTGAAAAGGGTTTAACTGTATTTTAAATATACAGCTTTCAATGTTGTCTCAACTGATATTTATGCTACTGTTGTATGATTAAGTGGAAATGTGAAGACAAAAAGAGACTATGAAAAACTTAGAAAGAGAAAATTATCTTGAGAGACAAATCTGTACAGCACTGCCAGGTGAACTACATTAACTATGGTGGATAAGAAAAATAGTATTTTTTGGTAAATATATAATTTGTATTTGTCATCGTATGAAATCTTCCTACTATTTTGACTGTGGAATTGATTTGAATCCAATGCCTTGTAAAAGATAAAGAATGAAAACGTAAATAAAGTGATGGAAGAGTTTTTTTTTTAATCTACTTTAATTCTGCTCAGTTTATGTTCAAGAAAGAAAAAAAGCTTCACTCCTGGTAACCAAAATCTGATAGTAATTCAGTTAAAGCCTAACTAGAGTAAAAATGTAAAAGGTATTACAGAAGGGAAGGTACACAATGGACAATAAAATACATGAAAGTTTTCACAATATAAAATATGCTGGTCTGCATTCAAAGGTTTCCTGTGACAACTACGTTTTGAATTAGTCGTGAGCATTTGATTTAAGTGTTACATAGAGGCCAGAAATTTACTCACAGAAACACTGTCTCCTCTTGTAAATGCTCTATCGGGTTTTTAACGTAGTCCATATTCAAAGGTTTGCTCCAAAAAGGCAGAGATATATTTAAACACTTGCAGGCTAATGCTGCTAGGAAAATAGACAGTTAGCGCGAAGCTAAAAAATGCTAATGCTTACTAAAACCTACATTTCTAGTTGGTTGCTATTCATTTGATGTCGCTGTTTTAGCTGCAAGCAAGGCGAACTCCTAAACTTTTAATTGATGTTGCTCTAAAAAAAAAAAGATAACATATTCCAGCAGTGACTGAAGTGGCCTTCGCACTACCACCCAACCAAACGAGAGTTGAACAAGCAGGCTAACATCAGCTAACATCAGCTAACCAGCAGCTAGCTGCTAGCTGGCGCCCTCGCCCACTACCATGTTAGAAATCGAGATAATGTTTTTGCCCACCAGGTCGTAGATTTGATACAATAATTTTTTCACAAGAGTATCTTCTTTGCACAGCTGACCTCCCGTTATTGTATTGTTAATATAATCAAACGCTTGAGATTGAACGACAGACCTCCGTGATGGCCGTCGTTTCAGTGCCTCCCCCTCCCGATGATTAAGCTAACGTTTGTTAGCTGGTTAGCGGTGGCTAACACTGACGCTGAAATATTAGGTAAAATCCATCAGCTACCATTTCTGAGCATGCATGTTTGCAAAGTAAACAGCAGACCACTGAATGCATTGCGTGAATTCACCGAGAATCAAAGGAAATTGAAAGGATATTTATGTACCTTTCAGCCTCACTCACCCGACGTTTTCCAGAGCGTCTAGTTTACAAACACAGGAAACGCCACAGGATGTAACCCACTCCCCCACACTGCACACACTCCCCACGCCAAGAGACAAGGCTCATCTTCTTCCAGCGAAGCCTCTTAGTTGGCGAGAAATGGGTTTAGAAATAGCTTTTAGAATAATACTAAGATAAAAAAACAAAAAAAAACATGTTTATAACGTGATGTAAGCTGACTGGACTCAGTGGACTCAAACAGCGACGTGCAGACATGTACTGGATCAGTCCGCTACTCCCCGGACCCGAAGCATCAAACTAATTATAATCAATAATACCTAATACATAATCTGCTTTTGTGCCGTCGTCTAATCTGTAAACTTAAAATGATATAAAGCAGGGGTGGGCAACTGGCGGCCCGGGGGCCACATCAACTCTCAACGTGGCCCCTCAGGTCAATTTTTACATATCAAGTATTTGGAAACATGAAGAAAACATGGCAAAATCAGCCATGAAATAATGAAAACCAGAAATATGTCCATAATAATAATAATTGATCACTTTTTTTTTATCCAGGAAAGTCCCATTGAGATTAAAAACCTCTTTTATAAGGGAGTCCTGGCCAAGAGGCAGCAAAAATTACACAGTCACACTCACAACATACAGACAGCACTTAAAATTATAAAACACAGTTACAAGTAAAGGAGGTCGACTCAAGTGCTCTCAGCCTGGATTTAAAAGCATTCAAAGAAACTGGTTCAGTTATTTTCCAATCTTTTTGCAGCATGTTCCATGTAGAAGGAGCAGAGTAGACGAAAGTCTGTTGAGTTAAATTTGAGACATAATCGTCTGTAATCGTTTTTGTATTCTACAATTTGGCCCTCTGGCAGTGAGAATCAAATGAATGTGGCCCTTGCTGTGACCAAAGTTGCCCATCCCTGATATAGAGGATTATAAGAAAGCCCCCCCCCCCATCCCAACTGCTCATAGCGTCATCATAAATTGTGTCAACTTGATTTATTTTATTGAGTTTTCTGTTTTCTGTTTTCTGCATGACGTTTTTGCTTTAGGCCATATCTTATCCTTTTCAGGCCCCTGACTTGACGACTGAAAAGTCACTTGACTTGATATCTTATCCTGAAACAAATCATTAATTACATCAATATTCTCTTCGATAAAAGCAATCAATTAGATTTTATCCATCTTGTTTTAAGTATTTTGATATATTAGTTTTGTTTTTTTAATCAGCTTTTGATTATTCAGTGTGCTTTTCATCATATAGGCTACAGGCCTACCGACCCTTTATTTTACCAGGCAAGAATTGCTCAAGATCAAATGACCTCTTTTTCGAGCAAGGCCTGGCCAAAATGGCAGCAGCAAAAAATAAATATAAGACAAACCCAAAAAGAAAGCACAGACATGAGAAAAAGAGACAAATACAGTCCAGAAGGAGAAGAAGAAGGAGGAGGAGGAGGAGGAGGAGGAGGACGAGATCATGTTAAACAAAAACAAAACACAACACCACAATACACACTAAAATAACAATTACGTGATGATAAAATACTATGCAGTGAAACATTTACACACTCCAAAATTAGCCATTAAACTGTCAGAAGACTACTGCTAATAATAATGTAACATTCAACTCCTTAATTCTATATTTTAAAAGGCAGTTAACATCCTCATATCAGCTGATGGTTTATTAGGCCTATGTGTTTCCACACTGTTTGACCTGCTCAGAGTTGTAGGCTACAAGGACCGAGCTGTGATGTTGGCATATTTAGTCTGCATCATAAAAGGGCTACCATTACTGCAGTTCTCAGATTAAAGTTAATTATTATTAGACAGTCTAAAAATATTGTTCCTTGTTTTAAATACATATGCATGTAGTAGGCTACATAATATGCATATGTCAACTTTGTTTTTTATTTTAATTCTTTGTAAAAATAAAAAATAAAAATAAAAATAAGGGAAAATTAAGCACCTATAGGACCACATTTTGTGTAGCCTAGACATGCTAAAGGCTATAGACCAAAATCGAGTTGATCAGTAATCATAATGTTTTTCTCATTATTAGTATATCTTATTATTCATCAGTATCATAATGTAAATAACTTATTGCATCTAAGTGTATTTCACTGCATTGCCAGCCCAAAGGAATCAATAGCGCAGTATACAGCATGTCTGCTTCCTTTCTTGCCTTCCTCGTCTCTTGAAAAATGAACGAGGACAGCTCATGGTCCTCAGGAATGTTTGGGTGGGAGGTAGACTATGGGTGGTATGCATGCTGGAAAAGCTCGCGCGCTCACACAAATGCAACAGGTAGGGGTAGCGCAATGCCCCAGGTCATTGGTGTACAGGAACCACATGACCCAGCTCTTCCACTCCCAGGACACCTTTCTGTTCACTCCACCTCACGGGTGCACACCGGGCGGTGACGCAGTGGCAGCAGCGAGTGTCAGGTGTCTCACCTTCTTTTCACGTAAAGAGTAAATCAACGGAAGTTCGCAAGGTAAGACCAAACTCAAAGCGAGGACATGAATGTAAATAACTCTAGTTAAGACTATTTTTTAAATTACTACAGTGTGTATAATGAAAGTCGAATGACTTTGCGTGTTTTTAGATTTTCGTTGTGTTCTTAAGCACCAGATAGCTTTGCTTTTTTTAAAAAAAGAGCTCAGCGTCGTTTGGGAAAATCTAACCAGTCCAGCTCCTGTTCTTTTTTTCTTTTCTCGTTATAGTCTACAGTCTTATTAATTACGTGTAATTAATGATTAATTATCTAAAAAGCTTTATCAGCCTATGTTTACTGTAGCCTATAGTTTGTGTTTTTACCGAAGAGACCAAAGTTCAGTGCAAATTGTTTACCGTGTAACACACCTGGCGTTACACCTCTAATAAGAACATGTTGGCCCTGTGAACTAGGAAGCCACTTTTTTATCATGAGTCACATCTGTTTACGTCGCCTCACTACTGATTCTTCAGGTTGAACTCAATTGAGTATCATCATTTGTGCTTTTGTTTTTGTTTTCTAAAAATAATATCTTCCAAGGGCAATCATGTGTTAAGAAATGCGGACTCCTCCTTATACATGTGTCCTACTGTATAACTGTGTTTTGGTTAGTCTACTAGTTGTCAAGGAGAACTGGACTATATTGTGAGGGGTTAAAGGTCAGTATCCACCTTTAGCAGATAACAAGTGATGGGGATGAAGCTTAATGCTGGAGTTTAGATGAACAGTTTTCAAAAGGTCATACATCAGGTAGTCTGTAAAGGTGCTCGCTGCTCTTTCTGAACAGAGAGGCATTTGTAACTCAGGCTTTGTTCTGATGCCTTTTTTATACCTCTGATTAGAGACGATTTAGTCAATGTTCCTAAAATTCAGAGTATCCGCATGTAAAGGCGTTAAGGTTGTGTTCACATACAGATAAAGCTTGCCATGACCTCACCCTATTCTTAATTTAAATCAGAAATGATGACAGCTCTGTTCAGCTCTTCTCTTTGTGCACTTATGGGAGAATAACTTGAGTACGATTCACCACCCATGTTGTTTTTGTTGGAAGGTTATTTGTTTTACCTGTTTTTCTAGACAGAATTTGGTCTGCTTTTAAGGATATGCAAATGAGGTGACTGGCGACTCTAAACTCAGTCCACCTGTGTTGTCCTTGGGAAGGACTTGTGATCTTTCTGGGGTGTGTCCCTGCCTGTCATCCATTGCATGCTACATGCACAGCCTCCAACACCCGCTGTGTTAAAAGGAAGAATGGGAAAAAAATAACTAATGAGCACATTTTTAACATGGCTGTCAGACTGAAATGTTTATATGCTTAGATCCACTGAACTACTCAATAATAACTTAAACCCAGCAGCACAACTTCTAACAATTTATCAACCTAATCTAACCTGCCCATCAGGACTGGAAACCTGTAGCAACAGTAAACACCCCCTAGCCATTTTAGACGTATGAACCCATTCATTGTACCTGAGCAGAGGAAAACCATGCCTTTCATGTGGTAATCCTTTCCTCTGCCCATTTACTAACAATAGTCTGACAATTTATGAAATACAATTCATTCAATTATATTTAGTCGTAAAGTAGCAATGTCATACAGTTAGATATTGCTACTTTCTAAATGTGTTTCTCTTCAGTCAGAAGGATACTTGCACTTAATTGTTCCTGAGAGTTCAGATTCATATTGAAGTCCAGTCCAAAGTTCTCTCACTACTTGTCACCAGTGTTGCTTTCATCTGGGTGGTGATGTAATAGGTGCACACCATGGTGAAAAAGTCCCAGACAGTAAGAGATTATTAACTCTATCGGTTGTGGTGATTATACACGGTTGTAACATACTGTCTGAGCACTAAAAAAGGGATTCAACATGGCCTGTATTTAGACGAAGCGTGCGTCTGAGACTCGTCATCTGTCTGTGGTACTTATTTGCTAGATGTTTGTTTGTTGGAGTGAAGTTAAAGAAAGATTTTTATTTTTTATTTAACCTTCATTTAACCAGGTAATTAGCCCATTGAGATCAAGATCTCTTTCACAAGAGTGACCTGGCCAAGAGGGCAGCAGAACACGTCTTAATGAATATTGAATGATAAAGAAACAGTTTACAAACTAAAAGTTAAGAGACAACAACAATTACAATGTGCAAATTAGTTTGCAGATAAAGTGCAGAGTTGTGATGAGAGATTGCAATTCAGAAATACAGGCACTGTCCAATGTTATCGCTTTTTATATCTTTTAGGATCTAGCAAAAGGCTTCCAGGGAAATGAGATTGAAGGTATTACAAAGTGCATTGTGTACATATTTATGTATACGCCTCCCTTCTCTCATAATGATAATGTGCTCATGTTGAAGTTAGCTGCTTGTAGTTTGTTTCTTCCATCTTGGCGATCAAGCGGCACATGCTGAAATTCAAGTTTGAG